TTATGTCATCATCCCTATGTAGCAGGCCTTGTGTAGAATATTGCTGTAACCTCAGCCTAGCCTACAATGAGACTCTCAGACCCTTTTTCTTGTTTTTTCTCTTATTTCATTGGCAAGGATGTCTTCAATATCTCATGTCCAGTGCATGCTAATTAATGTCTCTCTCAGAAAATTTACTTTTTGTTAATATTTTTACTTTAGTTCTTTAGTACCAGAAGAAAGTTTCACAGCAGACACCAGTGAAGAAATCTTCTTCTTCCTTTCTCTACTTCTGGAATGCCTCATGGCATCAGGGCAGTATAGAACAAGCCTTTCTGTTCGCTTCCTATGAAATATTTTCAGTGTCTCTGATATTTCTGTGGTCCATGATCTGCGTGGTCGACCTCTGGCTCTGTTACTGTTGTAAATGAATAACACTGGTGACCTGTCTGATGCCAGTGTTGTTGTTACATGGCTAAATCATTAGATTTATTGTCTACTTATAGTGTTCACTATTAGTTCTGTGCCAGTTCTCCTCCCAACATCATCAATCCTAGGTCGATCTTTCCTAGCATAGTGTGTAAACATTTTATATCTGTCGTGACAATTTATACTTCACAGAAAGTCTTCTTCTGAAGACCATGTCCATGTTTGACATTGATAGCAGTTTTGGTAAGAATATTGTGTTAAACAGTGTTCATATTCACATGCTTGTATTTCAAAATTTGTGCCATTTGGCCTAATACTTGATTGGCTTTATTGCATCTTTGGTGAATTTCTTTATTAACTCGTGTTCATCAGTTTTGATATTGGTGGTTTTTCCTTTTCTGGAGAATGTCATCACTTCTATTCTGTCTACTTTGATCTTCATAAATATCATAGCTGTCGCATTCTGAGTGGAGTCTATTAATATCTTCTTGTAGCTGTGCTCCTGTCTGTGTTATGATTGCCTGAAATATCCATGATTTAAACTCACCTGAACATTTCTGTCAAAATAATAATGTAACAGTAGTAGTGACCATTGAACAAGCCAGATTTCTTGAGTGTGATGCGACCAAATACAAAAAAAGTTAGTTGGGATATGATCATTGCACTCTGGACATGTCCATAGGTGCTCAGATCCTTTCTTCAATACAAAACCCCAGCATCCTGATTAGTCTTTTTGTATGCCCTGTGTGTCTCTCACTTTTGCCTTTGCCAATCTCAACGCCAGAGTCTTTCATTCTGGTGGGCAATGTGGAATCGCTGTCTCAAAAGTCCTCCACTCTTCTAAAAAAAAAAGCAAGTTAAAAAAAAAAAAGATTTAAAAAAAAAAGTTAAAAAAAATATAAACATAAAAGTAAGTGACCCTGTTATGCAAGGGAGGGGATTCACCCATCATACATTGTTTAGGACAGCCAAAGTATTTCAGTTTTCTAGACATGATGCTGCTTATGAATCAGCTTTTTTAAACGAACACAAAGTATAAAGTTTACTGATTCAAACAAACACAAGATATTTTGTCCAGATTGTTTTAATAATTATTTAATTGGTTACTATATATCACCAAAAACAAGCTATTTTCCAGCTCATGTTTTTGTTCAGTTTTTTTTTCCACCATGGTATTGCTTTATTCATTCATCAAAAGCAACACTATCACATAATTTATTATGAAAGCTGTGGCTTTTCAATTATTTGTATGTAGAAAATTTCTATGTATTTGATAACAGTAGCAAATACATCAGAAATTAAGCCTATACACAAAGAAATAAAAGAAGGTAAAGGAACTTCTTTTAACATCCACTGATATAGGGTAGCAGTCTCATATGTTTAGACCAGTTTACATTTGTTGGGTGGTGATGTGGTCAGTATAATGCCAGCCACTTTTACTTCCATGGAAACTTTCTGATAATCATTTTAGGCTATGCTGACCTAGGTCAATGAAAAAAAGTCCCTGCCTCAAAGCAAATTCCAACATACGACCATAAGGCAGTTGGCAAAGGCACTAGCTACTGACTACAGCCCTCATCTCAAAGTACAATAATCATGTAATTCTCGGTTACAAGCTTAAAGACAGTAATGGATGCCCTGTAACCAACCTTCTTTGTGGAAATGGTTTACAGTTTAGAAAGTTACATTTTACAAGCTCAGGCACAATTCATGAACAACCACTGTGCTGTTATGAATAGTGGCAAAGCACAGACATTAACAGTGATGTGTTTGTACCACATAAACAGCTTACAAATGCATGTCTTCAAAACAAAGACTTTGTCAGCAGTTTTCAGTAGGGAAGAAAGTCGTAATAGGGTTTTGCAACCATGAGGAGTGACGAGAAGCACACAACAGAAGAGGAAATAAAACGAGAGGAAACTGTTTAGAATTAGTTTGCTTTTGCACATATGTCCCTATTTATAGAACATCGGAATACTGAAACTGTTGATTGGGTTTAAAAAAATAAGTTACAGTGAGATTCTCTCTCCTTCTTCTTCAGCATTCCAAACCCTTGAGGTTCATTACTGCAGATATCACCCACCTCATCAATTCATCAATTCAATTACAGTTGGTGTCTTCAAGTGTTTGTAGAGCTACCTGAAAATGATCTTTCCACAATATTCTAGGTCTGCCTCATGGTATAATGCCATTAAAAGAGTGATATAATAGACCTCAACAAAGAGGTTTTTTGCAACCTCATCAACAGAAGTCTCTTATTATTTTACCAAAATGGATAGACCAACAGTGTTTGACATGATATTTTCAGTTCATTCTTAATTTCCATAACACTGCACTGCATAAATTTATGTGTAGAAGTAAACTTCATTTGCATTTAACAGACTTGTCTGTAACTTTCAAACAGAGAATTTCAAGGCTAAAATAAGAGGCATACTGCAACTGAGAGAGACATAAAGCCACTGAAAGAGGCATACTGCAACTGAAAGAGACATAAAGTAACTGAAAGAGGCATACTGCAACTGAAAGAGACATAAAGGAACTGAAAGAGGCATACTGCAACTGAAAGAGACATAAAGGAACTGAAAGAGGCATACTGCAACTGAAAGAGACGTAAAGTAACTGAAAGAGGCATACTGCAACTGAAAGAGACATAAAGCAACTGAAAGAGGCATAAAACAACTGAAAGAGGCATCAAGCATCTAACAGAGGCATACTGCAACTGAAAGAGGCATAAAACAACTGAAAGAGGCATATTGCAATTGAAAGAGACATAAAGCAACTGAAAGAGGCATACTGCAATTGAAAGAGATATAAAGCAACTGAAAGAGGCATATATTCTGTAGTGACTCTTACTTCAGCATTGGTGACATTACTAGAAGATCATGCTGTATGTAGAACAATGTTTAGCCTGAACTAAATGACAGGTAGATGTGCCCTGCAGCAGTGAACAGGATAAATAATAACAGATGCAAGGCAAAACAAAAATCTGTTGGTGTAACTACTTGTACTAGAAGGTTTTACACGATATGTCAAAATGCTTGTCTTATTTTCATTTATATTGAAATAGTGGAGTAATAAAGAAAAGGAAAAAAATATATATATCAACACAAAATGAATTATAGTCGCTGATAAGTGTGCAAGAAAAATATGAACAATGAAGGAATTATGATAATCTGAATGAAAGTATTTATATAAAATAGTATAATTTAAATCAAACTAAACATATTTTAAATTTAAAGCTGTATTGTTATGCATTCATATCATAGTCAGTAGTTACTTATATACCAGAAAGAAACACACACACAGATGCACACATGTACACACATAAACAACAATGCTGCCTCAGCCAATAACAACTTTCATAAGTTAACCAGTTAATGTTGGGTAGCTTACTATAAATTAAGTATGAAATAATGAACAAATTAATGAGTCTGATGTACTTGAAGATTGCAATTTTATACAATGAGCATCAGCTAGTCTTTGATTCTCTACTACAGGTTTCAATATATAATCCACTGGACTCATTCTCCACTTGTAGGCCTAACTGTGATATCAACTGGTCTTAGATTCTCAGGCAATGTATAGTCTACTGACCTTGGATTTTGTATTGGTAAGTCGAAATATACAAGGTACTAACCTTAGATTCTCTGCTCATAGGAATAAATCACATGACCTTAGAAATACAGTTTAAAAAAAAAAAACAGGAATAGTCCGCATAGGCTGCTGTCCAGACTAAATTTCAAAGTTGAAAAAAAAAAGAAAAGGAAAAAGTTGCATATCCTGTCCAGGACCTCACAACCAACCCCAGCATTTGTTGACTATTTGTGGTTTGACTGAGCAATTTTACATTCAGCACAATGAGAAACCCAACCAACAAAATAGACAACTTAAAGATTGTGTGATTTTCGCATACATACTTTTAGATTTTGCAAGTGTACAAAATTTGCTGACCTTGGATTCTCTACATGTAGGTCTAAATATACAATGAAGTGAACTTGGACTTACTTGTAGGTCTGATAAAATAATCACCTGAGTGTTACCCTATTCACTAACGAAGTCTCTTGCTCTATTCACTAATGAAATCTCTTGTTCTATAGATTCCTCATGAGTTTACAAGAATGGCCAATGAGAAAATATAAAACAATAAGTCACACTTATTCAACCAAATTGAGAAAATTTAAAAAACTTATTTCATTAGCTGCAAGAAGAAAAAAGTAAAGAAATGCTGACATAAATTAGCATGATTAATTGACTGATTAGGGTAATTAGTTAATTTAACTTAAAAAAATGGTGAAAGGTATAGATTTAAATGGTACTAAATATCTGAACAGAAATTGTCACAGAATTTAATGATAGGGTAGTGCTTAATTGAGCATTTTGGAACTAGAATAAAATAATAAAGTCATGTATTAGAAGAATTTTCTGAAATTGAATGCGTTAAGTTGAAAGGAATAGACATCACAGACTACCTGTGAATTTCAAAACACAATGTTCCAACCGCCCCTTGTGAGTGTGAATGTAGAAGAAAAAGAAGAAGAATTTAAAAGCAAAAAGTTATATATAGTATCTGATATGAGTAAATTATATCTCATTCATTTCTTTTTCTTAATTGATAAGCTTCTCCTCTTTCCTTTGGGTGATCTCAGTTCCTGTTCAGCTCTCAATGCTGCTTCCTGGAGAGCCTGTTGCTCCTGTCTAAATCTCTCAGCCTCCAGCAGACGCTGACGAAAAGCCTCTCTTGCAGTGTTCACTTTCTCCCTTGCTGCATCCAAGGCTGCCTGTAAATGGAAGAAAAGACAAAACAAAAGTTTGGCTTAGTACCAGAAGGTGGAATGTTGAGAGGCTTTTAAGCAACAGAATATGTCCTGTCTGGGAAAGATGAGAGTATTGGCTGGCAGTTCTATAGTTATACACCTTATCTTGCAGTTCCACCATATAGACCATAAATCAAAGCCGAAGCACACGAGACACACAAGAAGTCTTGTTAACCAACATAGGACTGGCACTCTTAACCGTGTGACGCTGATGAATATGTTGAGAGGGAAATCCTAGCACTTATGGATGTGTCCGGAGTGCTGTGAAGATTAACTCATAACTCAAATCAAAGCTTCAATTCTTAGGCCATCACCTCATCAAATTTTTCACCACTATTCAGGTTTCATCCTCTGGAGCAGTGGTTTTCAATTATGTAAGATCTAGGGACCCCTAATTTTCCTGAAGGTCTGCCAGAGACCCCATTCTTTTTAATAATCATAGTAAAAACATCTGAAAGCGAAAATTTATAATTTATAAATTCTGGAATCACAAAAATTGTTTCTTCTTCTTCTTCTTCAGCATTCCGAGCCCTTGAGCTTCATTGCTGCAGATATCACCCGCCTCCACTCATCTCTCTGGTTAGCCTTCTCTTTCCAGTTAGTGACACCAAGTGTTTGTAGGTCTGTCTGAACATTCTCTCATCATCTTCTTGGTCTACCTTGTGGTCTATGACCATTCCCTTGTGTATACAGTTTTTACCTCTCTGTCGGCTGACATTGTATGCTCTAGCCATTTAAGTCTATTAGCTCTCATGATGTCAGTGATCAATGGTGACTTAAACATACTATGAATTTCGTTGTTGCTTCTCATTCTTCATTCCCCACTGTTTGCATCTTTAAACAAAAATGGATTGCATTCTAACAAATATTTTGGTAAAGTTTTTTGTGTGTGTGGGGGCAAATGATATCACAGATCCCTTACATATGATTTGCGGTCTCCTGAGCACCAAATGGGAAGCACTGCTTTAGGTCAAGGTCGCAATCCCCAAGTCACAACTTGGCTCTCCTTTAAACTACGGCCGGTAGACAACAGTAGACGGCCAGTTAGTTGGAGTTCTGTCCCCTGGCTGCAGTGCAATTACGGAGTGGAAAGGAGGGAACGAAACAAATGACATAATTACTGTGTGTTGGCGATAGACAGCGTGCACTGCCCTGCTATAATCATATGGTTACAGTTTGGGTTAGGGTTTGGGTTAGGGTTAGGGTTTGGGTTAGGTTTAGGGTTTGGTTTAGGTTTAGGGTTAGGCTGTGTGTTAGGGTTACGGTTAGTGTTGCCACATCTCGTCTTCGCACAAACTCAAAGTAGCAACCCAAACCCTAACCCTAACCCTAAACCTAACCCAAACCCTACCCCTAATCCAAACCCTAACCCTAAACCTAACCCACACCCTACCCCTAACCCTAACCCTAACCGTTTGATGACAGTAGGGCACTGCACGCTGTTTATCGCCAACACACAGTAATTATGTCACTTGTTTCGTTACCTCTAATCCACTCCGTAATGCGTCGCAAGAAGCGATAATTGAACGCGGTCGCTAATTTGAGTTGCAGCGCGGGATCTGCCAGGCATGTCTACCTCACTTTGTGTTCTGATTCGTGCCTTCTCCAGTCCGTAATTGCACTCCAGCCAGGGGACAGAACTCCGACTAATCAGTCGTCTACTGGCCGTAGTTTAAAGGAGAGCCCACAACTTTATAAACTTCTCCACTACATTGCTCCTATCAATAAACTGTAGTTTAAATCTCTAACTCCAGGTTTCAATAATTCTCTTACTTCTTTCCATCTTGCGAACTCCAACGGCATGTATCATTTGCCTACTGACACCTTTCTATTCCATGACATAAGGCCATCATGAATCCAAACTCATCTTCCTTTATAACTGCATCCACAATTTTTCAACCCAGTTTGTCTCAACCCAGTCAGACTGCAGATTACACCCTAACTGATGGGGTGCCCCAACCAAGTCAGACTGCAGATTACATCCTAACTGATGGGGTGCCCCAACCCCGTCAGACTGCAGATTACACCCTAACTGATGGGGTGCCCCAACCCAATCAGACTGCAGGTTACATCCTAACTGATGGGGTGCCCCAACCCAATCAGACTGCAGATTACATCTTAACTGATGGGGTGCCCCAACCCAGTCAGACTGCAGATTACATCCTAACTGATGGGGTGCCCCAACCCAATCAGACTGCAGGTTACATCCTAACTGATGTGGTGCCCCAACCCAGTCAGACTGCAGATTACATCCTAACTGAGGGGTGTCACAACCCAGTCAGACTGCAGATTACATCCTGACCAATGGGGTGCTCCAATATAACTGTGTTATATGGCTGAAAAGAGTTTCTGGGATTTATACCTAGGGGATTCTCATCTGACTAGTGGCTCTTCGAGTCACAAGATGTTAGCTGCTCAGTATGTAGGCCTGGATGGCTTCATCTGCAGTCCCTCCTTCTGTAAATGTTTCCAAATGCCACATGTTTCTAATTTTCTTTTCGCATTAACGTAGCAAAAAAAAAAAAAAAGACAATTGCCTCTTTCTGATTATTTTCCTCACGTAGCCGATGAACTAGTTTTGCATCTACTACAAATTCTTATCAGACTAAAACAGTTAAACAACCACCAAAGACTACAAGACAAACTAAACCAACCTGCAGGGCTTGGTACTGTTCAAGTTGTTGCATCTTGGCTAAATTTCGATTTTGCTTATCTGCCTCTCTCCATTTCTCTACATTCTCCCGGTATGCTTTAAATTCAGCAATTTCATTTTGTCGCTTCTCCATCAGCTTTTGAATCACTTCCTCATCCATGTATACAGGCTCAGGCAGAGTTTTTCTGATGACCATTTAGAACAGTTATTATTATCATGTTATACAAACTAAATTCCTAAGTCGATCAGCCTTGCATGGATACCAGTAAATGTTCTTGAAGTAAAGGCATCCAGTGTGATACTGATCACAGCAAGTGCTAATGGAATTATTTACTTCTTCAGTCCCATTGGGTTCAGCATCAGAGACCCAAAGGGTAGTAAGTACCCAAACACACAAAACAATTTAAAAAAAACAAAAAAAAAACAAATAAAATAAATAAAAACAAAAGAAAAAGTATATTTTCACGTCTTCAGTTGTATAGGCATACAGGGCTAGACCTATAGGTACTCGGTGCATCATGCAGTCAGCATCACACCGGCCGACGTTACCGCTCCACCTGGTACCCATTCAAGGCTGGGTTGACCTGGGAGCCAATGTCATTTTTTTTTTAAATGTCTGGTACTGGCAGGATCAGAACCCATGATCTTCTAATCCGCAGGCGAATGTCTAGCTGTTACACCACCTCCACTCTCTAAAGTGTATTAAAGAGATACATAAAATCGGCATATGATGCGTTCCTAGGGACTAAAAGAGTTAAAAATACAGGTCTAGTACTAAGTGCCTAATTTACCGTTGGTGTGAACAGCGTCCACACTTTTTTCCTTTACTTAGGCACTTTATATTGCAATCATAATCTATACTAACGGAGCCAGTTGTGATGAAAAAAGTTAATTTTGCAGTCAATATATATAAAAAAAAAATTATAATGCAGATATTATTTTTACAGTAGAATAATGAGAACACTACAAACATATAACAGGTATAGGGAGATGTCTTTGAAGAAATTAACATCAAGTGAGAAAGAGAAAGGAAGGGAGAAGGAAAGAACGAACAAACAAACAAACTTTATTTTCAAAGGGTCACAAATTGGGCACCTAAGCTGTCTGACATTCAGATCTTCCTAACACACATCTTTCACACAGCAGTTGTATTTTAACAATAAGGCACATTATGTTTACATAATAATATGCACATTTTTAATATCAAGAAAAAAAAACATGAAAGCATAGGTGGTAAAATGCATCTTATGCACTCATGACTGTTTACACACACACACACACACACCCACCCACCCACTCACTCACTCACTTACACACACATACGTATACATCCACATACATACATTCATACAGACACACATGCATATAGACATACAAACACACATATATACCTACAGGCATCCATGCATAAGATACACACATGCACACACAGACACACATACAGACACACACATGGACATACACACACACACAGATATACACACAATCACACAGACACACATGGAGACACACACATGGACAGACACACACACATACACACAGAAACACACAGAAACACACACACCCACAGACCCACACACCCACAGATATGCACAGACTCACATACAGACATACACACACAGAGACACACACAGACATAAACACATACAGACACATACACAGAGACACACATAGACTCACACACAGACATACACAGACATATTTACAGATACACACAGACATACATATACATAAATAAGGCATCGATTCACACAGACACACACATGTAGCCACTGACATAAACACCCACAACACACACAGACATACACACATACAGACACACACACACAGACTCACACAGACATACACACACAGACATACACACAGATACACACAGACAAACATAAATAAATAAGGCATAGATTCATACACACACATGTACCCACCGACACACACAAAGACACACATGTAGACACACACACTGACACACAGACACAGACTGTTGTGGTGACCCCCAAACATACAGTTATTTTCGTTACTACTACTTCAAAACTTCAATGAATATGTGTTTTCTTATGGTCTTAGGCAACCCTTGTGAAAGGGTGTTTAACCAAAAAAAAAAAAAAAAAGGTTCCCAACCCACAGGCTAAGAACCGCTGTTCTACAGAGATTGGGATTGAAATGAGAGCTAATTAAAAAAAGGAGAAAGAAGTGAAAGCTAATAAATGGCAAAGTTTGACAACAAGTGAGCAAAACAGCAGATAATGATATAAGTGGACAACCCAGAGAGATGGACAAACAGCAGCTATGATTTTTATAACTGAAATCTTAGATATGATTTTTTTTTGGGGGGGGGGAATGGGGGGGGGGGGGGGGGGGGGCGGGGAGGGAGTTCCTCCCAGTGTGGGTTCTGGAGCCCCATTCTGCAGGGGGAAAAAAATTGATTCACTACCCCCAACAAGCATGTCACATAAGGCAACTAATTAAGGGCATCAGGGGGAGTCCACATTAGTGGCAAGGAACCAACAGTCTGCATACAAATAAGCCAAATCTATAAAATGGATGTGCTTGCATTCTGGAACTTTCCATTGACTAATTTTAGTGTTTAGTCATGTATCCAGTAATGATACATATTTCTCTTAGTTTCAAATATTTCAAATTTAACTTTTTTCAGAGCCAGAAGATTTCACTGCAGATGCCCAAAGTGGCAATAACTTGACTGAGTAATGCAAGTTCTAACTTTCATTGTTTCGTTTGTTCAAAAATGTATCCAGATTTATTTTGCATGCTCAGGCTAAAATATAAAAGATGTAACAACACACTAAGAATTACTTGATACAAAATGACAAAAGCTGGTCCACACTTGGTGGGCTTCAAGGGACAGAATGAGTAAAGTCATCATCGTCGTCTTCTCTTACTGCCAACAAGTGTCACAGGAATTGATAGTTGGTAGCCAGCGCTCAGTGAATGGAACTAGCTAATGCCATTTTGTGTGAACACTTACATCTTCTTCTTGGATGCATGCTTCCTCTCATATTAGTTTATATTAGTGATAATTTGTGCTGCTGGATTCTAAAAAGATGTCCAAACCATTTGATCTTCTGATTTTTAATGCACTGGACATATAGTGTTGTCCCCATAATATCTTACTAGTATTTAATATATTCAATTTCGTCCTTTTTAGGACGAAATTTTTTGTCATTTGAAGCCCTACTCTGGCTTTTGCCAGGGGCCGCAATATAGGCAGGCCATATATATGGCCAAATGTCTGAACGCGGTTTCTGGGACCTCTCCATGGTGATCCTCATCCACATGGTGGCACTTTGTGTCATCGGGTGTTTATCATTTGTGTGATGTCCTGGTGGGGTAGAAATTCAGTTCAGTTCAGTCCCCATAATCTGATCGTATCATTTCTCAATTGATTTTAGATGGGAAAATTGGCAGTTTTCCTAAAGCATCACATCTCCCGTGAGATAAGATAACTTGAAAAAGCTACAAGTTTTGTGTTTAAAAAAAAAAAAAAAGAATGAACCTACAACAGGGCCAGAAAGTTGGTGTAGAATTTATCTGTTCAAGTAATACTGTTCAAGAATTATGCAAGATAAAACGTAATGAACAGTAACTGTTGTCTGACATGTTTTTGTACAGCTTATATAAAGGCAAAAGAACTGGCACACTTACCGCACAAATGGTGTAATATCTATTGGTTCAATTTTTTCTTTAGGTTCCAGGAATGGTGGAGGTTCAAGGGTCAAACTCATCTCTGACTCATTGAAGAAAACTGGTGGAGCCAGGAAAGCTGTTTGGGACAGTGGTAAGGAACTGTCGATCTCAGTACTGGTGACAGTTCCAGACTCTCCAGTACTGTTAGTACCTGTAATGCTAGCAGCAGACACTGTCTCTTCCTTGAGTGAGTCTGTTACTGTAAACTCCTCTGACCGTGACAGTTTGATGGCATGGGTGTTGAGGTAATTTAGTCTTGACTGCAAAGCCTGGAAGAGATTAAATGTTCATATGATTTCTATTCTGGATTGATTCTAAGTAGAGTGGCTAAGCTGTCAGGCCTCATATTCTGAAGGCCATGGCTCCAGTTTGAGGCTCTGCCTTTCAGTTCTCCAGCACAAATATTTTAGACTGGTGGTCACAGCTGGAGCTGGTGAAGTCTTATCCTTTGTATGTCCACAGTGAACAGCAGCTGCTCTACAAGGAGAGATGAGCCATCTGTGATAAAACACAGAGCAATGAAGTCGATCCTCTAAACATACATTTTCATGTGTTCATCATCATCATGTGCCCTGCCAACTGGCATAAGCTCATGCGTCTACACAGATCACGATCTGTCATTGCCTGGAACAGCTCTCTTGATGATATCCCTCCATGCCATCATTTTAGCCCATCCACATCATCTCTCTTGGTCTGCCTCTACTCCTTTTCCACTGACCTTTCCAGTTGTCACAATGTTCTCCAAGGTCTCTCTTCTCATTATGTAGCCAAAAAACAAGTGTTTGTCTCTTTCTTATTGTTGCATATAGAGATCTACTTTTCTTTCAAGCAATCTTTGTTAGTTACTCTGGCCGTCTAAGATATTCATAAGATTTATCTCAGAATCTCACGTGTTCAGTGCATTGAATATGCTTGTTCTTCAGTAAGGCACTGTTGTTATTTGGAGGTGATAGGTCTGAATTCCTTTTTCAATTTATTTACTATTTATACATATGACAAAGAATAAACAAATAACATAAATTATGTATAGATACAAAGATGTGTGCAAGTAGAACATGAACGATACAGGTATTGATGTGGATTCATGGGAACAGAGGAAAGCATGAGTATTCTAGACAAACTCTACAGTCAACACTGATGAGATGGGCTGCTGGCTGGACTTTATTCCATACATGGTGTCAAAAACAAACTGCACAAGACAGAAATGAATTAAGTAATCCACAAGCTCCATAGAGATATAATGCTACAATAGGAAGATTATGATGATGATGATTATAGCTTAGGACAAAAGACAGCTGACAGATGACAATCCCTTGAAACTGAAAGTGTTAATTAGCGTGGAAGAATCACAAGTTTAAAACTGAGTGGCATTCAGGTTTAGTTAACTCTTTCAGTCCCCGCTAATGTCTAAGGGAATTACTAATGGTAATACTGAACTCATGGGTACACTACTTCCAGAGGGGCCAAATAAACTCCCCCTGTGTGTGTGATGGGGCCCGACTGTGGAGAAAACAAGAATAGACCCACTGCCTTCATAACAAGCATGTCGTAAGAGTCGACTAACTGGGGGCTTCTTTCGAAGTCAGAGTCCATCTGTCTGTGAGGCAAGGAACCAAAAATCTGCATACAATTAAGTCAGATCTGTTAAAAAGATGTGCACGCAACACTTAGGTTTTGGATCAAGACTTAGGTCCAGAGGTGGACAAACAACCAGAACTTTCTGCCGGAGTTTACAGCTAGTGAACGCAAAGAAGAAGAAGAAGAAGAAGAAAAAGAAGACAACCCTTGCAGGAAATAAACGTTTCCAGTGTCCCTCACTTAATATAAGATGTAAAAACATAAATAACATGATGATTAATACACATGAATAATATCCAGTTGTGCATAGTGAATAAAGTAAAGAAAAGGTGGATATTTCCTGCCTTCAGACATATTGGGCTTATATGATTGACTAATTGATTGGCATCTTTCCGTCTCTCCAGATGGCAGTATTATACTGCGCTAGCAGGAGACATGGGACCCACAGCCCTAGAGGATGACCAGTGTGACTAGCAAGACCTGCCCACATTCAGAAAAGTCTTCCAATTATAGCATGGGATTTCAGGACCACTGTTGTCAACATTTGTGTCTATTTTGTTTCTTCTCAGACGCTCAGCTCTCATACTTTCTGCAATCACTTCTTCCTTCATTCTCATTCCCCTCTCCACTCAACATGGTCTATGGCATTTTCTTCCCACGAATCCACCTCCATATCCATATCATTCATGTCCCGCTTGCACACATGTCCACATCGCAGTGGGGGTCAGCCTCGACATCCTCTACCCATCATCAATTCACCATCTGGGATGTCCTTAGGGACTCTGCCACCCTCCATTCTCCAGGTGTGATCCAGCTACCTGAGCCTTCATAGACTGAGCATTGAGAAAACTGTTGTAAGACCTGCTCTTTCCAATACCTGGGCATTTGTGATCTTTTCTTGCCACTTAATGCCAAGTATGGACTTATATGGCTAGGCCTATGAATCATACATAGTTTGTTGTTGAAAATGAGCAGTCCTTACTGGGTGCGCTTCATGCAACAGTGTCTGAATGTAGGTATTGTCATAAAACAGGGACTAGACCAAGCATTACCAGAGAATGTGCATAACATGACATGATGCATAAATGTATTTGCAATCACAAGAAGATTTTGAAAAATGATTAATAAACAAAAAATTTGCTGATATGGAAAGAAATCTTTTAAATATGCTCATAATAATAAATGTGTGTGTGTGTGCTCATGCATATATGTGTGTGTGCATGCGTGTGTGCATGCGTCTGTGCATACATGTGTGCATGTGCCTTGACACCCGCGTGAGCAAACACACACACACACACACACACACACTCAGAGTAACTGGAGTTTAAAAAAATAATAATTAAAAATAGGAAACATGTACAGTTTAGTATGTTAATGAACATTTAAACAAAAACAAAAATAATCTATAGCGTTAACAGAAGTCCTTAAATATATGCCCCAGAACAGGTACACTTTTCCAAAATGATAATATGACAACAAGAGGAAGCCCATTTAAAAAAAAAAAATAAGGACTGAAGTTATTAAGTAAAGATAACCGAAACTCCACCTTAGCAGCACGGCCAGGTTCTGCGTCCTCCCATGCTTTCTTCATTGCTCTAATCTCTTCAGCTCTCTCTGTATCTTTCTTCACTTCAATTTCATCCTGCCATGACAGACAAGTAAAACATGGTACATTGGTAAAGTTAAAAAGTAACAGTCCCTTTACATGCTATGGGCTAGACTCATTTTTTTTATAGATCAACCTGCCCTCGATGGGTGATGTGGTCAAAACCATGCCAGCCGCCTTTACTTCTCAGGACTTTACCTGGTACTTATTTAAGGTTGGGTCAGTCTGTCAGCCAAGTCATGCTAAAAAAAAAAAAAATCTGGCTCATAAAAAGCAACACACTTTATAAAACAACACAGTGATTGCCAAAGCAAATTTTTTAGGCAACACATTTTACAAGACAAAATAACAGAACACTCGTTATAAACTGCATATTTTATGCAACTCAGCAGCAACAAGACACATGCAGATTATTTAAATCAACAGTTTTGCAGCACTAAGGCACGACTTTTGTTAAGTTACTGAGCAAGCCATTTATAAAGTATAGGCGTTTCTTTTAAATTATTAAACAAGTGAAATCAATCTGCCATTTAACAAGTTTTATACCAAGCTTGCATGTTGGCTCAGTGATTCTTCTTTTCTCTAGACCCTGCTCTGCCTTTTGGTGTAAGGTTTTGAAGAGTCATTTTATTGGAGCCTTGGTATATGCTAGAAATATGCTGGTATTCACAGCCTCAAGATATTTCATTGATCCACCACTTACATGGATATCTTCCATCCCTGCTTTTGTGTCTAAGTGACAGGACTCTACATTGTATGCTATTATGTGGCAGTCTTGACACATGGCCAAACCATTTAATCTCTTGGGCCTGTCACAGTTTCAGGAATTATTTAACCAGATGGATCTCATCCCATCTCGTAAGCCAGAGTCCCACAAGCATGAAATCTTGCAACCTCAGTTTTCCAGTCACAGCTTGCAGGTAGAGTGGTCTTGGCAGGCTGCTGATGTCTGCTTTTTACCCTTCCAAAGAAGAGCTCCCTAACCCCGACATTGCTGCTCAGTGATTATATGTCTGAATCCCTGTTATGGTAGGAATAAAAACAATTGATCTGGGTTTTAATGCTGACTCAGCCCAAATTGAACACCAAGTTATTTTAAACAACGTCTTCATTGGTCATGTCTATCATACAGCTTGAAATCCACAATTATGAAATATGGGCGGAATTCATCTCAAACCATTGAAATGGCACCAAAGTTACATAAATTTATATTAACTAAAGCATAAGTCAAATAACATATATAACCATTTCAATGGTTTCTTTCTAGGAGTGCCAATCAATACACTGTCTGTTTACTTATTACACATATAATATATTAAACAAGTAACTCTGGCTATTAACAGCAACAAAGACATAATATTCTTTTAAGGAACCAAACAAGGCATTTACCAAGCATAGTCTTTACTTTTCAATTAGTAAACAAACCAAAAGATCTCTTGATGCCTCAGAGATGCGATTTTACAAAAGAATGCTCTAGATTCCTTAGAGCCACAATTGGAAATTTAAATGTTTTGAAAGAGGCTGATACAAAGAAGGCTTATCACAATCATTAGAAAGAGGCTAAGATACAAAGAAGGCTTATCACAATCATTAGAAAGAGGCTAAGATACAAAGAAGGCTTATCACAATCATTAGGAAGAGGCTAAGATACAAAGAAGGCTTATCACAATCATTAGAAAGAGGCTAAGATACAAAGAAGGCTTATCACAATCATTAGGAAGAGGCTTTAATTTTTTTCTGACCACATTATAAAAAGACACCAACTAGAGCATGCTGTGACATCTGGAGAGATGTATGAAAACAAAGATATGAAAAGGGAATGAGAGAAGATTTTTGACAGCCTTGTGTTGTGGTATGGAGCTGTCAGCACACAAACTGATCAAAGATGTTGGAGATGGACAGATATGGAGAAGCATGATTGCCCACACCAGTTGGCAAACCACTGGATGATAATGATGATGATAACTTTACTACAGTATATGGAAAAAAAACCAAATTATGAGCATAGAAGGGAAAGAATTAAAAAGGAAAAAACAAAGTAACGATGTAAAAGACAGGATATAACAAGTTGGTTGCAATGTCATTGGAACACAGCATCTTTAATTGTAGTCTCACAGCAGATACTGCCACAGCGTGTGAATTTGATCCTCTTAACTTTAAATATTCCAGAAAAAGTAAAAATATTTAGTCTGAGAACAGGATCTCAAGCATGCTAAGTAGGTTACTGGCACTTTTCTGTCCCTCCAGACGATAGTGTTAAACTGTGCTTTAGGTAGTTTCTCCAGATGACAGTGTTAAACTGTGCTATAGGTAGTCTCTCCAGATAATAGTGTTATACTGTGCTATAGGTAGGCATGGGAATTAAAGATCATAGCGATGGTGAGTGTGACTAGCAAGATCTGCTAATATATAATATTATATCTATATACATATATTAAAATATGAATCAACTGAGACCATTAACAATATCACATAGTTACCAGTCAGACGAACCATTCAGTCCATAATTGCTTGGATCCGCTCCTTAGTGAATCCCGCAGGATGTATTGGCTCACAACATCAGTTCTGTGCTGGTTCTTTTATTCTTCTTTGGCTGCCTGCATAGTGCTCTTTTTCTGGCCACACCCCTTTTAAGATGTTCTTGCAGTCTGGTCATGGTTGCAGATTCCCAGTCATTACTTGGTTCTTGCAAACGTCTTACTTCTCATAGAGCATTTCAGAATATCAGCCCAGTCCATGGCTTGTCCATTCTCTATAATAACTCCACGAGCTCTACAGGAGGTATATCGATGATTGCATCGGTGTAACCGATATGCCCCTACAGGAGCTGCAGAACTTTATTCATTTTTTCCTCTAACTTTCATCCCAGCATCCGATGCACTTCTAGCATCTCACCTTCGTCGGTGCATTTTTTGGATCTCACTGTCACCGTGAATTCTATGGGCCTTAGCACCTAGGTGTACTACAAGCCTACTGATTCCCACGCTTTTCTTCTCTACAGGTCCTCACATCCCTCTTCTTGCAAGGACTCTATTCCGTTCTCCTAACTTCTACGCCTCCGCAGACTATGCCAGGAGAACCATGACTTTCACAACAAGGCCCTGAAAATGCTGGACTTCTTCTGGTTTCAAGGGTATCCTGAACGTGTCCTATCTGCTGCCTTTCACCGCACATGGTTTTTCGTCACAACAGAGCTATTCTTACACTTACCTACCACCCTCATAACATCCGCCCCAAAAATATTTTCCTTAGGCGTCTCTCTATCCTTAAAGCCGACCCTGCTACCAGCACGATTTTCTCTGAACCTCCTCTAGTGGCCTACAGGCATGATCGTAACCTCAAGGACATTCTAGTCAAGAGTAGGTTACCCCCCGTGTCTGAGCCCCACTTCGGCACGGTCTCTTGCCATAGACATGTATGCAGAACCTGTCCGTATGTGGTCCAGGTGGGTAGTCTAGAATTCCCTAATGCCACCTTCCACATACGTGAAGCATTCTATTGTACCAGCCGCAATGTCATTTAAGCCATCAACTGCAAGAGATGTGGCATGAAATACATTGGTGAAACAGGTCTACGGCTGGGCTGACAGGTTCAGACAACATTTTTTGGATGTGCAAAATGGTGCCCTGAAACCAGTACCGTTGCACTTCAATTCCCAGGATCACCAAGGTGTCCTCGACATGGAGATGGCAGCCATTAAATCTAGCCATTCCAGCGACAGAGTCCGCAAGTCTCTTGAGAATCGCTTTATTTATACTCTGGGGACTTTGACGCCCTCCAGAATGAATTGCCAACACAGTTTCATTTAAACTTCCAGGGGATTAAAGTGGCCTCACAGTTTCAACCCCTTCATCCCAGTTATGGCCCCTGACACTCCACAGGGGGGTATTTATTCCCCCAGCTGACACGTGTGGTCATTCTGCTGAGTAACAACCGACGCGGCCACATCGTGATACCAGCTAAGTGATTTTGTAGTATCTATGTAGTATTGTTTAATTTGTATGTGCTGATGAAGGCTCAACAGCCACAACGTTCACGTTTTGATTGTATTTGTTATATTGTGAAGCTTGCTAATATACTTTTCGTTCGGGTTTATATCTTTTCTATAATAACTTCACCTGCAAGCTGATCAGCTTGCTCATTTCCTTGCATGCCTGCATGCTCTGGCACCAATATTAACTGTCTTCGAATCCAACCCTTCTCTATCTTCCTGATCACACTCATTTGGTCAACTATCACAGGGTTTCAGTCAACACAGTAACACAAATTGCAACATTAAAACCAACTCAGTAACACATACCACAATAAATAAATCAACACGGTAACACCTACCGCATTATACGAATCACTGACAATCCGAAGGGTCCAGTGAGGCTTTGTGAAGTCAAACTGCTGAGATGAAAGACGTAGCATTTTGTTGTCTTTCCCTCCTTGGTTGCTTTTCTCTTTGCCACCTTTTAATTTAATTTTGCTTCCCGAAGACTGGGATTTTTCAACTTTTATTGGTGAAAGAGGACGTTCATTGCTGGACACTTCAAAAGAGAAAATGATTTTCTGCCTATCAATATGTATTTATAACTGATCATGATCTAATATTTACAATTAAAAACAAATTTCTATTTTCTAAGGCATGATCTGTGATTTAGTTAAAATTACAACATGGTGGACTACTACTCTCCAGCCATCGGAAAGCAACCATTACTGTCTCAGTATTCTTGCTGGATGATGTGATGTCATATGCAAGGATATTTTTTTAGACCACTTCCATTCTCCTTTGCAATCAAACCCCACTGAGTCTTTTTTTTTCAAGCACAGACTCATCTCTGTATATAGTGCCAATGATTATGAGATTGGCCATAGCGACACCCTTCATTACTTGCACCATTCAATAGCTTTTAGCTCACTATACTCACAGTCACATTTGTTCAGTGGTTCAGGAACTGCCAAAGAATAGAAAGGACACTGTTATTGCCTTTCCACCAGTGAGTTCATGTTCATTCTTCAAATAGCCCCCCCCCCCCCCCCCCCCCCCCCCCCCCCCCCCCCCCCGAAAAAAATAAATTTCAAGCAAATATTCGAGCAAATAAAAATGATGGTCACCGTGTTCTGCATGGACCCACGCATGGGCCTTACTTTTTTGTACTACACCCCTTGACTTGGCACTAAATGATTATTACCACTTAAAACAAAAAGATAAAGGTCTGGTTGGCTAACCAGGGCTTTCAACACAACTGAGGAGCTCATGGATGGAGTCAACCATATTAAAAGATCTGAACATTAAAAAACATTGGTTAGTAAACAGCATCTTGCCTCAGAAACTGAAATATTTTAGCCATTTCAAGCGCCCTGTTGGATTAGAAAGAACAGAGCAGAAGGCATGGTACCAGGAAAGAGGGACAGGAACTGACCAACACGAAGATGGCCACGAGATATAAGTGATGCCTTGAGTAGGAAAAGTACATGAGGCAGGAGAGCTGGTGAGAGATCGAGTTTCTTTCAGGCAGACCGTGACGAGAGCGGCATTCTGCAAAGAACCTGCTACATGATGATGATAATGATTGTTCACTGTAAATGAGAATAGATGGCAGACTCTGGAGCTTACATTTCTGTTCACTCTTTTCCATTTCCTTGAGTACCTGAACAAATCTCCAACTGCTCTCAGACAGAGGCCAGCTGTTTTGCAGAACAGTAGCTTGGATAATGTACTTGTGTACCTGCAATGACAAGAAAAGAACTTTAGTCACGGCAAGCATAAAATAAAATAAAAAGGACCCTGTTCAATCAGGCATATAAGACTAGACTCCCATTGTTATAGACTAACTGGCACTTGATGGGTAATGTGGTCAACAACATGCCAGCTACCTTAACTTCCCAGGACATTTCTAGGTACCCATTTTAAGCTGCCGTAACCTTGGAGCTGCAGTCGATTTCGTTTTATAAATCCATCCAGTGCAGATTTAAACCCAAGATCTTCAGGTTAGCTGCAAGTGTTCAGCGACTGCACCACTGCAAACCCCTAAAATCATAGTTCATATCAGTGAATATCCCCCCCCCCTCCCCCCACCGCTACCATGTGGATTTCATAGCTCCATTTTGGAGAACTAAGAATAGCCCCCCCCCCGCCCGCCCCCCCCCCAAACAAGCGTGTTCTAGGGGGTAAATAATTAGGGGTGTTTCCTTTAAAGTTGGAGTGCAACTGCTGGACAGGAACTAAGAACCTGCAAACAAGTAAGCCAAATCTGTAAAATGGGATGTGCATGCAAACTCAACTTCTGGATCAAGACTAAAGTCCAGGAATGGATGAACAACCAGAACTTTCCACCTCGGTTTACAGCCCGTGAACACTAGGAAGAAGAATGAATGTTTTCAAGAACAAGTGTGGTTACCATGATCTGAGTTGTGCCTTTGTAGGTATTTCTACTATAAGAAAAACAAGTACCTATTAAGAAGAACTTAAATCATGGTACACAAGCTTGTTCTCTATACAATTTATTTATTTTATGATTAAAGTCTTGCTAAGATCTGACTGGCTGGCAAACTTACTATAGAGATAGAAGCCAGCATTGTCACAGGAACTTCCTATTGTAGGATGGATTGAAACATTCCCCTGCATACTTCACAAAAGAAAATCAACCTCATTGATGCTTTATGATCCTACACAAGCCTGCAGCCATTGTCTTACCAGTCCCTTGGCGGACTGCAGATGATAATAGCAGTTTGTCATTGAGCTTTGAAGAAAGTAGCAATTTTCTCTATCTGCCACTCTCAGGGGTGCTAGAATCTGCAGATTTAGTCATGTTAACACCCCCCCCCCCCTAACTCCCAGATTATTTGTAGGGAAAACACCCCTAACTCCCCCCCCCCCCCCCCCCCCCCCCCCCCACTCACCCACCCACTGCTCGATGCTCTTCCTCATGTTGACTTCAAGTTACTTTGTAACAGCTCCATTATATATAACCCTGTGGTTTAATGGAGTTTCTTGGATTTGTACTTCTCATCTTACCAGTGACATTTTTTTGCATCAACAGGTGCAAATCCCTCAGTGTGCTGTCCTAGTGGGCGTCCTAGATATGTCTCTTTATTCATCTAGGTACATCGCTATATAGGTCTAGACACATCTAGATATATATATCTGTATATTCATCTAGATAGGTCTCTATAGTGTCTAGATACGTCTCTATATACATCTAGATTTGTCTATACATATATCTACAGACGTCTCTATATGTTTAGATATGTCTCTATATGCATGTAAATACTTCTCTATATACTTCTAGATATGTTTCTATAAACGGCTAGATACATCTCTATATATGTCTCATATATTCTGTGGGAGCTGAGGCAGTGTAGTGGCTAGGATACAGATTTAATTGCTGAAGAAGAACAAGTTTCAATAACAGATATCTGCGATATAAAAGATAACAATGCACTTACTCTATTATCTTCCAGCCTGTCAGGAAAATCAGCATCAAAACGCATGTTATGTCTCTGTGGACCAACCATGAATAGTGTTCACAGTGTTTGATCATATTGCAACAATGAACCAAGAGAACCAGACAAATACATTAGGACGAGACAAACATATTAACATGAGACAAATGTGTTGATTTAAAATAAATAAAGTTAAAGGTCAAAGTTAAAGTCAAGAGGATCCACTTCATTGCCGTGGGTTTTATCCCATGTGGCTTGGTCCCCCTCCACAGAATGGCTAGCCACTTGTCGAGAGCGCGGCACAGAGCACAAACTCTGTAGCTCCGGCAACGATCCCCAGGGATCTACATAAAAATTGCACTTGTGAACTGAAGGGTGTAGCCGTGGGCAAATACATCAACACTAGACATATACCTAAAAGTACGTTAAACCTGTCACCCAAGAAAGCCAGTTTTCAGGCTTTCACTTATTTTAGATGACATGAGGTCCTTAATCAGTGGCAAGTGCACCTAAATAACAGCTGTAGTACTAGATGCAACTACTTTGTCTGTAGATGTGTTGGATATGACACTTGTAGTAAATGTTTGAGGCTGCGAGCCCAGCACCCCAGAAGAAACAGAATAAATATATCTAATGGCCACAACAGTCCCATGCTCTAATTGTGGACAATTCAAAGAGTTAAGGGAGAATTCTCAGTAAATTATATTGATGTGTTTATTTTTCAAGAAATTGTGAAAAGGTAATTTTTTATAATTTTTTTTTAATTTAAAGATTTTAATGGGTGAAACAATAACACAAATTATAATAATTTTGTTTAAGATACTATGGAGATACCCCAAAAAAAAAGTACAGAAAAGAATTAAGTGAAGGAATAAACTGTGTGATATATAATCATATATAGCAGGACAATAAAAAAAAAAGAGCATCCCACTTTTCAGATAGCAATAGCCAACTGCTGAACATACAACATCTAGGGGTTGGCCTGTGAAATCCTTGAAAAGACATTAAGTTACTAACTTTAACATGATCAAATAAACAACAACTGTGTGGTTTTAGCACAATGGCTAGAGCACTTGCTTGCTGTCCTGGTCGTAGGTTTAAATCCCTGCTGAAAAGTTTTTTTTAAAAACTGATCAGGATAAACCAATCTAAAAATGTAAAACTAACAGTAAAGGACCCTTTTCCCCACCTAGTGTGTATACAGGGCTAGACCTATATTTTTAGACCAATCGGCAATGGGTGGGTGATTTGGTGAACATCATGCCAGCCAACTCTATTTCCCAGAACTGCACCTGATACCCACTCAAAGCGGGGTCGACTGGAAGTCAAGGTCATTTTTGGTTAAAAGGCATGCTCTGTCTGGACCCAAGCCCATGACCCTCTGATCCGCAGGTGAGCGTCCAGCCACTACACCATGGTAACTCCCCAGTTTAAAAAAAAAAAGTACCGGGAAATGTTCCTGGATGTAAAGACATATTACTGACCACATGACTCATGAAGAGTTCATCAGTCTCTACAAATATGGGAGTAGCACCAGATACTCAATAAACTTCAATGCACGACAGTGGGTCTGGTATTAAACTGACCCACAGATACATGTAAACTTACAGAATTCTGGTATGAATCACTAGGGGCAGCAGACTCTGATCTTCTGGTTTTGGATGATTTCTCCTTCAATGTCACAGCAGGTGGACTGTTTTTAGTGGCTAGAATATGTACAGCAACATGGTTATTTCATGCAGATGCAATGGTGGTGGTGGTCTTCTGCTGCTGTTGCTTCTGCTTCTTCTTCTTCTTCTTCTTCTTCTTCTTCTTCTTCTTCTTCTTCTTCTTCTTCTTCTTCTTCTTCTTCTTCTTCTTCTTCTTCTTCTTCTTCTTCTTCTTCTTCTTCTTTTGCCTTTCTAACCCCCAATGGAGCATAGGCCCTAAACCAACTCAGACCAAATCATTCTATCCTTTGCTATTGCATGCAGCTCTTTGGATTCATTCTTTTAAAAACAATATATACATATATATGTTTAGAAATATATTGACTTTTATTTTACACCACCTCCTCTGCCATTGTTGTGCAAGGAAATGAATGTCAGCCAAGTCTGTCAAAATTCAATGGGCCTGAAAATGTTAAGATATCCTGACAGACATTAAAACTTCTGCTCCACAAATCTTTTGGAGGAAAAAAATCTGTGAACCAGGGAATTATTCCCCGACCCTCCTAAACATAAGTCCTTTCACACTGTAAGAATCTTACAAATTTACCTTTTTAAATTTTTTTAAAAACCAAGTCAGCGTGCACGCATGCCCGCACACACACATGCATGCATGCACACACACACACACGCGTGCACACACACACACACACAGAAATTTACACCAATCAACTTACAAGCCCTTGATCCACTCCTCTTTTCAACATCATCTGGATTGAAGTTCTTCAGGAAAGTGAAAGCAGGAATAACTACATGACCTTTTCCTAGTATGCTGATGACCTCCTCCTCATTGTCCAGCACTGCCAGTTTGAAGTAAACCCCTCGTTTGGAAGTGTTCATCTGGATACTTGTAAAGTGATCATCTTTAACTCTGACAGATTGTCTGCGAAATTACAGGTAATATGATGATTATTTCTCTTGCCAAAAAAAGTAACACGGATGATGTTGCGACAACCAGAAAGATTTCTGAAAAAGGTGAATGAAAAATAGATGAATTATGACCACCCTGGAAAAGCAGACAGTGCAAGACAAAGGAAGCAAACGAGAATGCAGTCAATATCGAGGCATCTCTCTTTTAAGCCATGTTGGCAAAATGTATGCCAAGATAATAGAAACAAGACTGAGACCAGTGATAGAACCACAGCTGGCAGAAGAACAGATGGGATTTAGGAGAAATAGAAGCTGCACAGATAAAATCTTCACACTTAAACAGTTAATAGAAAAGAACATTGAATACAATAAGAATTTATTTGTGGCATTCGTAGACCAGAAGAAGGCATTTGACAGAGTCGACAGACAATTATTATGGAAAATAATGGCAAGATATAGAGTAAGCGAACACCTCATCGAAGTGTGCAAAAGTCTATACAGGGATTGTAGAAGTGTAGTTTGAATAAATCAGGGAACATCTCATCCTTTCACAGTGACATCTGGAGTAAGACAGGGGTGTGTCTTATCACCACTGCTGTTTATCACCTACATCGACAGTATATGCAAGAATGCCAAGCCCATGAATGAAGATCTTAGTAAGATCAACGAATTACTCTTTGCAGATGACCAGGCCTTGATAGCAGATACAGCCATGAAATTGCAACAACATCTAACATCCATGAATGAAGAATGTAAAACAAATAATATGAGAATCAACACTGAAAAGACAGAAGTAATGTCAATAGGAAAAAAGAAGACAGATCTAAACATAGCAATAGAATAAAAAGGCATTAAACAAGAATCTGAGCTTAAATATCTGGGAACTACATTTACCAAAGATGGGAAATTGGATAAAGAAATTGACATTAGATGCAGTAAAGCAAACCAAGTATTGGGACAGCTAGCCCCCCTCTTACAGCATAAGACAATCCCAATCAGCACAAAGAGACATCTTATTCAAAGCATATTTATTCCAACTCTGTGCTACCAGTGCCAGACATGGTCCCTCACAACAAACCATAAAAGAAAATTAGTATCCACGGAAATGAGATGTCTGAGAAGGGCTGTAGGAGTGACCATAAGAGATAAGATCAGGAATGAGATCATAAGAGAACAAGTCGGCACAGAACCAATTCTGGATTACATACAAAGACAGCAAGTGAAATGGTTTGCCCACTTAGAGAGAATGCCTTGTGACACCATACCATACAAAGCATACATGGAAAGAGAAGAAGGACGTAGAGCATGGGGTAGACCAAGAACAAGATGGAAGGATAACATCAGAGAAACTCTACAACAGTTTATGTGCCTATGGTCGAGGCAGCCAGAAGAGCTAGAAACAGAACCTTATATCTCCCTCGACACCCACAGCGGTAAAAGAGGAAGTGAAGAAGAAGAAGAAGAAGAAGAAGAAGAAGAAGAAGCAAGACAATGGGAGAAGATTCTTGATAGAGTTTGTCATAGCATGGAAAGATGTCTCCACTAAAACTGGAACATATTATAGATTGCAGGATGTGGAGAAGCTTCACTGACCACACGTGCTGAGATGACTGAGAGGATGAAAACAATGACAGGCAGATCATCATCAGATTAGCCAGTTCACAGACTAATGTCGAAAAGTTGTCTGATGACATCATTCGGCTATTCCTCCTCCTCTCCCCCTTCTTCCCTCCCAGCCATTTTTTGCAGCAATGTAAAAAACACTAACACCTTATGTTCTTACATTCAAGTATGCTACTCTTGTATTTTTTTAAAATACTCTCTACTGTAGGGGGTTGAGTTTTTTCATGTTACAAAAGGACAAATTTAGAACTGCAGGGGCCGCATTAACCCAGGCAATAGGAGACTCGCTTTCTAATCCAGCTGCGACTCGCTGCAGCTCACGGCTGGTGTTTGAAACCAAGCAGTTCCCGGGGCTCACCCAGCCTCTAGGTAATGGGTTAATGTTAACACTCTGGGGTAAATGGAGGAATGTCGCTGTAGCTCTAAAGTTACAGTTTTTTTCTTTGCAATGGAACAGTTTCTTATCAGCTGTCTGTACTGGTGGCAGAGTACTTATGGTTTATAACCATGTGCAATGACGCTGGTTCACATCTCCCGGCTTTACCATTTTTTTTTTAACCACCAGAAAAAAGCCCCTGTTATAACTTATAATGAAGAATGCATCAAGGTATACAAAATAAACAATAACAAGCATAACTATAATAATATTCAAACCAAAGCAACTGAAAAATAATGCTAACTGGCATTCAGTCTTATAACAGTAAATTTATAACAAACCTGAAAATAATATTCTTAGAATTTGGGATGTAATAGTCTCTGATCTCTTTTGTCATAAAATTACTGCAGACATCGCCTGACTTTGTAACTGGTAAAGGACTCAGTGATCCAATAAGGCGTAAGCGCCAGGTGCCAGAAGGAAGTGCCTGTTCTAGTGACCTTGCTTCTGCTACAAAAGAGTAGCCTCTCTGTTTAGAAAGAAAACAATTTTGAAGTGGCAGAAAAAGATTTTTTAAAAAATGGTACTATTCACAAAGGTCACCCCATCTTGTTTGGCTGCAAGATTTTGTGGCGGTTCCCAAGGCTGTCCCACGTTCTAGGGGTGTTTGTTTTGAATGTTTTAAGCACATCCACCACCGAAAACTGCCACTGCCAATGAGTGTAAAAATACAAAAACATCAATGATTCGATACTCACTAACCATCGCACCTTCAGCACTTCTCCCTGCAGTACATCTTCCTTGCACACAGGTGCCTGTGGTGCCTCAGCTTCTCACAACAACAACACATTTCACAAGCAAAAGACATTCACAGAAAAGAAAACTGTAAAAAGAAAGCTGCATACTTTCATCCGGAACAGAGTGTGTTGACTGCGTCAAACAAAATGAACCAGTTTTTGGCATTTCATAACACCCCTAGAACATAAGACAGCCCCTGGGAATCACCATGAAATCACATAGCCGAATGAAATGAGGTGACTTTAAATAGTACCCCAAAAAAATTCTTTAAAACAAGAAACAAACTACTATATAAATTATTTATATCTGCTGATGACTAGACATCAGATACAAATATAGTTGTTTTAGTTGAATGCAAATAAGAAAGCATTTACAAAATGCAAGCCTATAAGACAAACTAATTACACATGTATTATAAAACTATAAATGAAGGTAAGTTTTCTATCTAAATAAGTCAGCAATAAAAAATGTGGCAAGTGGGGAGATAATGATTGATGCAATAGTTGATAATATTTCATAACAAAGAATGAATAATAAGCAGTTAAAATATAATATAAAATGTGGTATAATGAACTGTAATGGGGGATATTTTCACCCTGATTAAGAAGGTTGGTGGGAAAGCCCAAGGTTAACAAGAATACCAAGAGAAGCCAGATACTCGGATTAACCGAGGTTTTCAAAATAGGTGATGACCACGAGTTATCAGGTGGAACCCGATGATAGCGACCACATGTGGTCACCACGTGGAAGCAAAAGACAACCACGTGTTGCCACGTGAAACGAACAGGGGGTATACGTTCAGACCCTAGTCAGATCAAGTTAGTATGTGTTGACGGTCGGAGTGCAAGGATGGGAGAGTGATCGAGAGAATGACAACGTGAGACTGATTGCTGTGAGAGGAAGAGCAGACGACGACGTCCATTGAAGCCAAGACCAGCCAGGCAATTCTGTGTGAAGTCGATGAGAAGAACCAGATTCATCTGTGCAAACTCTGGTCAGTGACTGTGTGAGAAACCGGCATGTGGGAGTCTGAGTAATGTGGTGTATGCAAGTTGTATATTAGGACACGGACTGGACGTTGATGTAAGTGATAAGATGTCAATAAACCGATGTATCGTACTGCTAAGTGGGTGTCGGCTTGTCCCAGTTATGTCATTGTAGAATGTGTGCTAAGAGCATTCACTATACACATCATCTCCTAGACAACAGCCAGTGCAAGCAGAGTCATTGCAACCCACCTCATTGCATGAACAATAAAAATATAATATACAATATGGCCTAAAACTATTAAAATATAATGAAAATACGGCTTATGAACAATTAAAATGTAATGTTAATGAATGCTAAATGAACAATTAAAATATAAAATAAAAAATGCCCTAATCAACAACTAATAAAATATGCCCTAATCAACAGTTAAAATGTAACAGAAAATATGAAGTGCATATAATGTAATGCAGTCTTACCTTGTTCTTTTTATAAACATTTGGTGCAACCTTATCAAAGACTCGAGGAATTTCTTTTCCTGTATCATTGTCTATGACATGAAGGAGGCAAGTATTGACTGGAACATTGACAGTCGGCACAACCAACATGTCTTCCTTGGCATAGAAAATATCTCTGATGATACAGAAGTTAGATAATGATCATATGTAAAGGAAGAAAGTGAAATACCATTTTTCACATACACCGTACCCTGCTTAAAGGGAACAATAATGGAGGGGTATATGTATGGAAAGAGAGGAAGAGGAAGGGCTAAGAGAAGATTGGTATAGGATGTGGTGGATGATCTCTAGATGGGTGTATCAGATGCGGGACATCTTGCGTGTGATCAAGAAGTTTTCTGGAAGGTTGTTATGTGAGCAAGGTTCTGTAAATGACATGATATGGACTGACACTGACTGACCCTACCCTGCTGGACCCGTACATTTTTACACCAACTGGCTTTCTATGGTTAATGTGGTTAACATCACACCTGCAGGCTTTAACTTCCAGGCTCCTGTGTGGGTTCCAGGCCTCCCACTGTTGTTGGGGGGGGGGGGGTAGTTGATGTGTGTGTGTGTAGAAGAAAAAAAAACTGTGCCCTCTAACAAGCATGTTGTAAGAGTGAACTAAAAGGATGTTTCCTTTGGAGTCACAGTACATCTGCCTGATGGGCGAGCAACCAAGAGTCAGCATACAAATAAGCCAGGTATGTAAAACAGATGTGCAAGCAAAACGCAGATTTTGAAACAAGAATAAAGTCCAGAAGTGGATGAAAAGCAAGAATGTTCTGCCAGAGTTTACAGCCGGGGACTGTGAAGAAGAAAACCTTCCATGACATTTCATAATATCTCAGAGGAAAGGCAAGACAGACAAATAACTAAACTGACCATTACCATCAGCATTGGCACTTTTCACTGGCTGCTGAAGATAAGGATGGAACACCTATAAGAATGTCTCATACGCTGTAATATCAGCTCTTTTCAACTCAACAGTTCAACTCACAGTATCCACTAAGCAGTTATTAAAAGCTGTCACACTGTAGAACTGAACTTAATGCCTTCAGGTTGGCAGGTAAGTATCTAGCCACTGCAAAGGAATGGCTCCGATGAAAAGCATTAAATACTACTTAACTCTTTCACAGTGAGAAGCCACAAATTCAACACTTCCAGCTGGGTCCAAATCCCAGTAAATGTCACTTCTCAGACTTGTCTACAGTGAACTGTTGAACTCTTTCAGTTTACAAGTCACTGTGCATACAATTAGGCGCACAAATGTTGAATTTATTATCAGCAATTTTTTAAGACTTAAATTTTTTTATAAAGAGACAGAGATGGTGAATTTGCTCCAATGGCAGCTTAGTGGTCAGCTGTTAGAGAACCTAGCCTAAATTAGTTACACCCAAGAGAACCCGTTTCATTTGCAAAAGATGTTATTTATAGTCACCCACATCGGCATCCAGAGGACTGTTTCAAACAGTACCATACTATGGCTAAGCTGCACTGAAAACATTGCAGCTACAGTCTGTATATAACTATAAAGTAAATATTTTGTGTGTAATGGCTGTTTTTTGCTCAGCACTCTACGAAAACCTAGAGCCTCTGAGTAATAAACTAACCCAGAAATTTATCATAACTTTTGAATTTGTTAAAAAAATTGAACAAACTTTCAAGTGTTATTCTCAAATTTGGACAAAAACTGCTCTTGTAGCTGCAAAACCTAGTTAAGTGAAGAATTGTTTTTGTAAAATGTTGTCTTTATAAACATAACACTTACTGAATTCTTTCTGTTTTTCTCTACTAACTATAGCAGCATTTAAAAAATATATATCATGAGATTCCAAATGTACATTTATTCCTCTTTAAAAAAATTTATTCTTTTGTGTGGATTACAAATATATTACATTTTCCACTGCCTTTATTTACACTACCCCCCTCTGCCATTTTTGTAAAAAAGAAATTAATGGCAGTCAAGTCTGTCAAAATTCACGGGTCTGAAAGAGTTTAAGAGACACAAAGTTAAAGCTATTGGCTGTTTTGTGCCTGTACAAATGTTAGGAGGTCAGGATATGAATATATTAACTAAAAATAGCATCTGGAAAGGGGGAGAAAAAAAAAAAAGGGGGGGGGGGGGGGGGAGGGTTCCTTTGAGCAAAAAAAGCTTTTGTTGTACTGCCATCAATTTCAAATTAACCTGTAAGCCCTTGTGATAGACTTCACCTGATACATATGTTTTTTAGGTCCAGGGAATGTACAGGCAATTTTAAATTCAGTAGTTTGCCATCGCTGTCTCACTGGTACATACTGTCAAAATCACTGTAACACAATCTGCTACCAAACTGCCTGCAGCTGAGTTCTAATCCCATTATGTTGGGACTGTGAATGCGTTCACTACCCTAAGCACAGTGCTGACAAATACTGATATATTTACCTGAAAATCAAGAACCAGCTCATGGAAGGGTGTTCAGGAAAGACACCCTTGTAATCTGCATAAGATATTCTACTCCATTCATCCTTGTAGAAGGGGTAATATGGCAAAATGTTTGGATCTTTTCTGAACATCTCTCTGTGGCACAAAGTGAAGACAAACATATAGCACACCGAAGGTCTTAATCTGCATAACTGAGGCAGATTTAGAGAAAACAGAATATATATTTAAAGTGGCCTAAAATGGAGCAATGGAAATATCTTGGGAAGTAAAAGAAGCTGACATGACATTGGTCACTATCGTGCACCAATTGGTGTATACAAATATGGGCCTGGGACCAGTTGCCCTATGTGTGAATGGCATAGCAAGGCCATTTTATAGCCATGACACCTACTAGTGTATGAATATCATTAACCTGTGCCTTATCAACTAGCAGGGGTCACCGTAGTGTAGCAGCTACATGCTCCTCTGCAGATCAGAAGGTTGTGAGTTTGTATCCTGATGGAGAAGGAGTTTTTTTCAAAAATGACCTTGGCTTCCAGGTCGACCCAGCCTTGAGCGGGTACCACATGCAGTCCTGGAAAATAAAGGTGGCTGATCACATGACCCACCAAGCGCCAGTTGGTCTATACAAATATAGGTTTAGCCCTATATGCCCGAATATGTCTGAGGTCGAGGAAAAGGGTTCTTTTACTTCATCAAATGGCATGGGCAATCGTGTTTATTTAAATTCTGCAATTTTCCTCAGCATGTATAAATTCATGTGCTGACACATTTTCATGTCATAACAAAAGACTGTGTCATTAATTAATCTTCTTTATTTCTCTTTCAATAAATTTTCAAGGTGTCCCAATTTTTCTCTGTTTACAATGTTACCTTGATAACAGAAGATGGAAAGTGTATCAAAAAAGTTAAATGTAGAATAGTTCAAGTAAAGACAGCACTTAACAAAATGAACAATATTCTCTGTAATCTTTCTATATCAATTGAGGGGAAAAAGAGAATTTTCAAGAGCTTTACATATCCTATCTTGATATATGGAAGTGAATCACAGACAGTTGGCTGATTAGTGAAAACTTATTTGGAAGCAGCGGAGATTTAGTGTTAGACGAATGATGAGAACACCCAGGACAGATAAAAATAGTAATGAAGGTGTCTCAAAAGAAACTGACTCACCAAAAAAAACTTATTGTCCACATAAAAAAGAGACAATCTACATTCTTTGGTTGTGTCATGAGAAGAAAACTGGAGTACATTGTGACATCAGAAAGTTGGAGGGGAAAAGAAGCAGAGAGAGACCAAGAGAGAAGATTCAGGATGATCAGACATCATGGCATGGAAGATTATCTGTGTCAGAATTGACTGAAAGTACATGAGACAGAAGGCTATAAAAGCCACATTATATGGACTATAAGAAGAAAAAGCAACAAAAAAAAAAGAAGAAGAATGTTACCAAAAATTGATTATTGCCTCCATTTGATATTTGCAATGAACTGTCATGGTGGCTTTTCTCTTTAGAAAAATGTAAATACTTATGTCTTTAAAATTTTTGGTGATAAAATTAGATTATTATATAAATTATTTTCACCAAATCAACTATATTACGTTTTGGAACAAGACCAAAGTCCAGAAGTGGATAAACATCCAGGACTTTCCACCGGACTTCACAGTCAGTGAGCGACTTTACCGCCGATGAATGCTAAAGAAAGAAGAAGAAAGGAATATTTTCAAATAACCCAAAATAATCTTATACAACATTACCAGTGTGTTATCATTTACCACTAACATACCATGCATGTCATCTGAGGTGAATTAAGGGGGTGGGTGTTTACATCTTAACGTAGAAAATTGCAGCTGCAAGATCACACTAAAAATGAACAAGTTACATATATTGGTACCAGAAGTTTTCGCAGGATTTACCAAAGTGAAGATAAAAACCCCAAAGAAATATCATGAATTATTTACTTTTAAAATGGCAAATTATGCAGCAGCAAGCAGTAGAGACTGTTTGGAGAAGCCTGATTTCCTTAGTATGTCCTGACCAAATATAAAAAAGTAAGAGAGTTGGTTGAAAATCCTTTCTTTACTGGAAGATGAAATGCAGAATAAGCACACGAGTTATGAGTGTACCTTACCTTAGTACAAGAAGACCATTCTCTTCCATATTAGCTTCAATTGTAGACCAGCACTTCTTTAAGCTTTCAGTAGCTTTTGCATTAATTTCAGTACCTGAAGAGGAAAAAAAATGAACAGAATGGGGCCTGTTAGTCTAACACACTTGGAGACATACTCAGGAGAAGATTGGAGCATTTATGCTCATGTCCGATGCGTGCTGAAGATGATCTTTAAATAAACTATGAACAAGACAACATCAAGAGGTAAATTGTAAGATCTACATAAAAGTTCTGTAAAAAATACTGGAGGCGACTACAGCCAACATTTACTGCACAGATGGCACTTGATGATATGCTTTCTATTTTTGTTCATAACACAAACATTTTGTTTCACTTATTTGAATATTGTGATTCTATAGTACTTGAGCACTAGTTGGAGCCAGCTGATAACATGCTAAGGTTAAGTTAAAGAGGACTGACTTCCCTACATCAGGTTTGATCTCATATGGCTTGGCCTCTCTCCACAGAGAGCCAGCTGCCTGCCGAGAGCATTGCACAGAGCACAGACTTTGTAGTCCATGATGAACCCAGTCCGCCCCGTAAAAACTGCACTCTTGAACCAAAAAACGTGTTAGTGAACGAACCCACGACCCTCACAGGGTGAGGCAAATGGCTTGACTACTTCACCACACAGACCTCCAGGTGACTTTCCCGAGGAGTGATGTTGCCCCAAGTTAAGCACCCATTTACAAAAGTCCTTTCACTGCCATTAATTTTTTTCTTTGCAATGGAACTCACAGGGTCTAAGGAATGAAAGTAGACACACACATACACAAAAACAAAGAGAGAGTGAAGCAAAAAAAAAATATGTAGAAGATATGGGGTGAAATCCATGTGAGAGCAAATGACAGGCCAGCTGTACATGAGTTAGCTGACAGCCTATGCTCTACTGGTGATAACAAGTGGGTAAAGTAGAAATGAAGTCAAGACAAGTTGACATATATGCATTAGAGTAACTTCATCTTAGTGTCTGCTGGCAATCAATGGCCTGACTCTGTTAGTCTGCTCAAAAGTCAAACATCCCTATTTCACTAGCAGATAAGAAACGAAAATATTGCCCCTATTTAAATCAGCAAGAATGAACATATGTTAAAACACAAAAGCATCAGGGAATAAAAACCCAGCAAATAATTAGAACACCCACAAAATAATCCAGGCAATGAATATCATATTACAAAACAATGTATCAGGAAGTGACAATATAACATGTCACAGAACAAAACAGTGTAATATAACAACATAAAAAATTAGCTTCAATCAAACATCTACTACAGAATAAAGCTAATATTAAACACTGCAATACAATTTAACAGCTTTTTAAAAAAATAAAACACAAATAAAAGTGTCTCAAACACTGAGGAACAACAGACACCATCTGACATATACCATATAAAATAAAATCTAGCTATGGTCTAATCACTAATGTAGAGCTTAGGGAGAACACTAGACAAATTCCAGTGAACTAAAGGGGAGGATGGCAGAGTCCCTAAGGACATCCTCTATGGTGAATACGAGATGGGTAGAAGATGTAGAGGCAGATCTCTACTATGATATAAAGATGGTTGCAAATGGGACAGAAATGATACAGGTATTGAGGTGGACTCGTGGGGATAAAATGCCATTGACGGTGTGTGCGTGGAGGGGGCATACCCGGAAGGGAATGGGAATGAAGGAAGAAATGATTGCATACAGGATAAGAACTGAGAACAAACTCGCTAATCATAAATGCTGACAACAATGATCCTGAAAACTCATGCTGTAAGTGTGGAAGAATCTTCTTAACAATGGCAGGTCCTGCTAGCCACACTCACCATCGTAATGGGCTGAGTCCCACGCCTCCTCCTAGCATGATATAAAACTAACGCCTGGAAAGACGGAAAAGTGCCAACCAAAAAAAAAAAGGAAGGAATAATGCTGGCATTAAATAAGACTCACACTGATCAAGCCTGAAAACAATATAACCAAAATGTTTTTGCACTGGAGCCCACAGGATTTAAAAAAAACACACACAAAAAACCAAAACAAAACAAAGAAAGGGGAATCTGAGAAAAGACATAGAGAGAACATGGGGTGAACTGCATGCAGCAGCAAATAATATGATGACCTAATGTGAGTTGGCTAAGGGCCTATGTTCCATTAGATGGGTGAAGGGCAGAATAAAACACAGAGGGAACCACAAACAATATAGCCAATATTTATAACAGCACAAAACAAAACACAGCACCTGGTGTTCCTGCTGCTTTGACTTTTCTGACATAATAACCACGCCAGGTTTTTTGTATCTTGACAGCTGCAACTAAGTCACCAACACTTGGCTGCCTATAGAAGCACACACAGCCAAGTATGATTATAAGAAATTGATTTAAAACTTTCATTAATTGTATAATTACACACAAATTTTATCTTACCCTACTAGCATCACTCTGCTGTCTAAGTACAAAGGGGCAGGAAATAATTTTCAAAACCGTCTCTTCAGGTATGATAAAACGAAATGTCTTTTTCTGTATTTGTCCTCAAATGGTAGATGGCATATTGTGTTGTGGTTTACAGCTAGCCTGTGATAACTACGACTCTCAGCCAAACATATCCAATTTTGACAGCCGTAACTAATCACTTTTACAACATGCTTATTAATAAGTGTCGGCATCTGGGGCTTAGGTGTTTATAACTTTGAAAATGGGAAAACAAAACAACAATGACTATGACATATAACTTTGAAAATGGGAAAACAAAACAACAATGACTATGACATATAACTTTGAAAATTGGAAAACAAAACAACAATGACTATGACATATAACTTTGAAAAATTGGAAAACAAAACAACAATGACTATGACATATAACTTTGAAAATTGGAAAACAAAACAACAATGACTATGACATATAACTTTGAAAATGGGAAAACAAAACAACAATGACTATGACATATAACTTTGAAAATTGGAAAACAAAACAACAATGACTATGACATATAACTTTAAAAATGGGAAAACAAAACAACAATGACTATGACATATAACTTTGAAAATTGGAAAACAAAACAACAATGACTATGACATATAACTTTGAAAAATTGGAAAACAAAACAACAATGACTATGACATATAACTTTGAAAATGGGAAAACAAAACAACAATGACTATGACATATAACTTTGAAAAATTGGAAAAAAAACAAACAACAATGACTATGACATATAACTTTGAAAATGGGAAAACACAAAACAACAATGGACTATGACATATAACTTTGAAAATGGGAAAACAAAACAACAATGACTATGACATATAACTTTGAAAAATTGGAAAACAAAACAACAATGACTATGACATATAACTTTGAAAAATTGGAAAAACAAAACAACAATGACATATACTATGACATATAATGACTATGACATTTTTTGAAAAATTGGAAAACAAAACAACAATGACTATGACATATAACTTTGAAAATGGGAAAACAAAACAACAATGACTATGACATATAACTTTGAAAATGGGAAAACAAAACAACAATGACTATGACATATAACTTTGAAAATGGGAAAACAAAACAACAATGACTATGACATATAACTTTGAAAAATTGGAAAACAAAACAACAATGACTATGACATATAACTTTGAAAAATTGGAAAACAAAACAACAATGACTATGACATATAACTTTGAAAAATTGGAAAACAAAACAACAATGACTATGACATATAACTTTGAAAATGGGAAAACAAAACAACAATGACTATGACATATAACTTTGGAAAATGACATATAACTTTGAAAAATGGGAAAACAAAACAACAATGACTATGACATATAACTTTGAAAATGGGAAAACAAAACAACAATGACTATGACATATAACTTTGAAAATTGGAAAACAAAACAACAATGACTATGACATATAACTTTGAAAATGGGAAAACAAAACAACAATGACTATGACATATAACTTTGAAAATGGGAAAACAAAACAACAATGACTATGACATATAACTTTGAAAATGGGAAAACAAAACAACAATGACTATGACATATAACTTTGAAAATGGGAAAACAAAACAACAATGACTATGACATATAACTTTGAAAATTGGAAAACAAAACAACAATGACTATGACATATAACTTTGAAAATGGGAAAACAAAACAACAATGACTATGACATATAACTTTGAAAATTGGAAAACAAAACAACAATGACTATGACATATAACTTTGAAAATGGGAAAACAAAACAACAATGACTATGACATATAACTTTGAAAATGGGAAAAAACAAAACAACAATGACTATGACATATAACTTTGAAAATGGGAAAACAAAACAACAATGACTATGACATATAACTTTGAAAATGGGAAAACAAAAAACAACAATGACTATGACATATAACTTTGAAAATGGGAAAACAAAACAACAATGACTATGACATATAACTTTGAAAATGGAAAACAAAAAAACAAAACAACAATGACTATGACATATAACTTTGAAAATGGGAAAACAAAACAACAATGACTATGACATATAACTTTGAAAATGGGAAAACAAAACAACAATGACTATGACATATAACTTTGAAAAATTGGAAAACAAAACAACAATGACTATGACATATAACTTTGAAAATGGGAAAACAAAACAACAATGACTATGACATATAACTTTGAAAATGGGAAAACAAAACAACAATGACTATGACATATAACTTTGAAAATGGGAAAACAAAACAACAATGACTATGACATATAACTTTGAAAATGGGAAAACAAAACAACAATGACTATGACATATAACTTTGAAAATGGGAAAACAAAACAACAATGACTATGACATATAACTTTGAAAATGGGAAAACAAAACACACAATGACTATGACATATAACTTTGAAAATGGGAAAACAAAACAACAATGACTATGACATATAACTTTGAAAATGGGAAAACAAAACAACAATGACTATGACATATAACTTTGAAAATGGGAAAACAAAACAACAATGACTATGACATATAACTTTGAAAATGGGAAAACAAAACAACAATGACTATGACATATAACTTTGAAAATGGGAAAACAAAACAACAATGACTATGACATATAACTTTGAAAATGGGAAAACAAAACAACAATGACTATGACATATAACTTTGAAAATGGGAAAACAAAACAACAATGACTATGACATATAACTTTGAAAATAGGAAAAAACAAAACAACAATGACTATGACATATAACTTTGAAAATGGGAAAAACAAAACAACAATGACTATGACATATAACTTTGAAAATGGGAAAACAAAACAACAATGACTATGACATATAACTTTGAAAATGGGAAAACAAAACAACAATGACTATGACATATAACTTTGAAAATGGGAAAACAAAACAACAATGACTATGACATATAACTTTGAAAATGGGAAAACAAAACAACAATGACTATGACATATAACTTTGAAAATGGGAAAACAAAACAACAATGACTATGACATATAACTTTGAAAATGGGAAAACAAAACAACAATGACTATGACATATAACTTTGAAAATTGGAAAACAAAACAACAATGACTATGACATATAACTTTGAAAATTGGAAAACAAAACAACAATGACTATGACATATAACTTTGAAAATGGGAAAACAAAACAACAATGACTATGACATATAACTTTGAAAATTGGAAAACAAAACAACAATGACTATGACATATAACTTTGAAAATTGGAAAACAAAACAACAATGACTATGACATATAACTTTGAAAATGGGAAAACAAAACAACAATGACTATGACATATAACTTTGAAAATGGGAAAACAAAACAACAATGACTATGACATATAACTTTGAAAATTGGAAAACAAAACAACAATGACTATGACATATAACTTTGAAAATGGGAAAACAAAACAACAATGACTATGACATATAACTTTGAAAATGGGAAAACAAAACAACAATGACTATGACATATAACTTTGAAAATGGGAAAACAAAACAACAATGACTATGACATATAACTTTGAAAATGGGAAAACAAAACAACAATGACTATGACATATAACTTTGAAAATGGGAAAACAAAACAACAATGACTATGACATATAACTTTGAAAATTGGAAAACAAAACAACAATGACTATGACATATAACTTTGAAAATGGGAAAACAAAACAACAATGACTATGATTTATAACTTTGAAAAATGGGAAAACAAAACAACAATGACTATGACATATAACTTTGAAAATGGGAAAACAAAACAACAATGACTATGACATATAACTTTGAAAATGGGAAAACAAAACAACAATGACTATGACATATAACTTTGAAAATTGGAAAACAAAACAACAATGACTATGACATATAACTTTGAAAATGGGAAAACAAAACAACAATGACTATGATTTATAACCTTGAAAATAGGAAAACCAAAACAAAAATGACTATGATTTATAACCTTGAAAATGGGAGAACAAAACAACAATAACAATAATTTATAGCCTTGCATGAAGTTAATAAGGAAATCAAATGTTTAAAACAGACAAAAAGTACTCACCTGCTTAACCATGTAGCCTCTACTTTTTCTGGCTCACCTGAAGTTGACCCCCAAAAAAAATGAATTTTACATCCGTATTTTCAAATGTTAACAGACAATTTGCTCTTTTTGTTCAAATGTTAACTAAAAGCTTTGTTTCAAAATCTGAATGTTAATATCATGTTTTATTTTTACATCACTCAATTTTCACTTAAATTGTATCGTATAATTAATGAGCAGTAAATATCACTCAAGTAAAAAGTAAATCACATCCATTATCTTAAATGTTAACAGGAAATCCTAATCTATTCATGATCATCAATTTCCACGTTTTACATTAGGCATCCTGGGGAGGAACCATTTGCAATTTATTTCTTGATGGGTAGCAATGGAGATTATCATTCTATGTCAAACTTCTTCTTCTTCTTCTTCTTCTTCTTCTTCTTCTTTCATTTGCTTAAAAAAGAGAATCTATATCTGCACTGCTGTCTCTAGTGTAAACTTTACTGTCTTTTGCAATTCAATCAGCGGACTGTAAAGTTTGGCTTGCACCGGTGTCAATGTAGAAGATCTTAAATGTCAATAGGGTAACCTCTTGCTTTCGAATAAGATCTTTTCATGTGTAATGTTGAGAGACGCTGCTTCAAGGAGACAACGATACTTTGACTGACTGACCACCCCGTTTGATGCTTCGATTTCCCTTCCTTGGCTACATCAAGAGTGATGCAATTTTTGTCAGAAATGACATAGAGGGATATCCCTCTGAATACGGCTGTTGTTTGGAAAATACCTATTTTGTCTGTCAATTGAGATTACCCGGATTGCCATCATCTACTTCCGGCCACAAGCGGTAGAGAGATGTGAGGCAGTTTTGAAAAGACAACTTCACGTCTTTCACACAGCCTATAGCCGAAGCATTATGGCCAAATTCATCCAATAGTCATAAAGCTACATCCAGGTGAGCATAGTAATTAGTACAGACATCTTGATTTCCTTTTCGAGGCTATATTTCACCGACAATATTAGAATTGTACCAGACAGAGGAAAGGCCACACTGATTTATTTCTGCCGTTGACAAGGGGGTCAGGAACTAGACCTTTGAGATGCTATTCCTAATTCCAATTGTTCTGTATCTAGGTTGTTTCTATTTACTGTATCTAGGATTCTTAGATTCTCCATCTTCTATTGCTGGTATACAAGGGATCTATGGCTTTTAACAAAGTTCCTGTATTCAGTGGTAACATTTCATTGGAGACGTTTTCTTCTCATGTTCATACTTCTATAATTCATGTTTACTTGTGTTTTAGTAAAGGCTGGTTTTTGTTTTCAGGATAGATACTCTACACAGCCCTAATAAATGATGTGATGTTGATAACATATTGTTTAGGAACATTTTAAGTCTAATTTTATTTCTAGATGTGTGTATGGTGTCAGGTTACCAATATGCCTATTCTAGATAGGGGCCTAATTTAATGACCAGAAAGGGAAATTGTTGGTAGGGATAAGTGTCTAAGTGTTCTCTAGGCATCTAAATTCCCTTTTCCAATTTCTGGGGATATTCAGTCTGCTCACTGTCTTACACAAGCCAATTTGAGTCTGTATCTGAGTATCCAGGGACACTGTCTGCTCTTTGCATCAAAAGACAGCTGTTTCGGTTTCTCATTTGCATCAAGAGGGGAGGATCGAAACCCACATCCACCCCCTAGTGAGTGAAATAGAAACCTGTTCCATGACAATCGTCATCATCATCAGTGTCATCATCACTGTCAAGATCTTCTTTAACATCAACATCATAATCACCACCACCGCCATCGTCATCATCATCATCATCATCATCATCATCATCAAGTGCCTTGCTGACTGGCATATGTGATCATGCTTCTCCATATTAAGCTAGCTTCAATGTCTTCATTTTCATCATCATCAAGTGTCTTGTCGACTGGCTTATGTGATCATGCCTTTCCAAGTTGTGCTGTCTCAAAAAGAATACAAAAGTTCATGTGCTGGCACCATCCTATGCCATGACAAAAGGCTGTCAGGACTCTATATCTTCTTTAATTGCTCTCCCCCCTCCCCCTTTTCTTTCTCTGTCCATAAACTTTCCAACTGTCATAATATATTGCAGTTTCTCCTCTTCTTATTATGTGGCTGAAAAATAACAACTATCTTTTTTTGGTATTTGTGACATTTGCAATAAATTCACTTTATACTGATAGCGCAAGTACAAGATTCACTACTCTCTCCAAGTTTTATTCCGGTACAATCGACTAACATCTGATATACAAAACACATCTGTGCCATCTCCACAATGAAGGTTGGCTATATCATCATCATCATCATGTAGCAGGTCCTTTTCAGAATGTTGCTCTCATCACTGTCTGCCTGAAAGAAACTCGGTCTCTTGTCAGCTCTCCTACCTTGTGTACTTTCATTTTCATATTCAAGGAATCACTTATATCCTGTGCCCATCTTCGTGTCGGTCAGCCTCTGCCCCTCCTTCCTGGTATCATTCCTTCTGCTATTATTTTTTTTCCAATCAGTCTGGCACTTGATATGACCAAAATATTTCAGCTTCCAAGAGTAGTTGCTGTTTATTAGCCAGTCTTGATGTTCAGATCTTTCAAGATGTCAGTATTTCTTCTCTTCTTGGTCCAAGATATTCTGAGAATCTTTCTATAGCATTTTAGCTCAAAAGCCCCTATTCTTTTTCTTAAGTACTGAGAGATAGTCCACGACTCACATCTGTATTTTGCTACATGGTAGATGTATGCTCTCAAAATGTTCAATTTGATTTCCTTGCTGGAGCCTAACCATAGATTTTTAATGCTATTTAAGGCTGGCTACAGTGTACCACTATTACTTTTGAGAATATTACATAGTAAGGCCCCAATTTCTTCCACAGTGTGACTCTCATTCCATTGTCATAAATCTACCAGAACTTTTTTTAAAAACCATCCACAGCAGGGAAATAATTCTAGTCCTTGAGGACCAAGAAATTGTAACCATATTCGCTAACCTTTACAGAGCCACACATACACACATCTGATATACATACCTGCATCAATCTGTGACTCTATTTTACAAAGTTGTGAACACCATTGTGGAGACAAGGGTATCCAAATCAGCATTAGAGAGAAAATTAATCAAATTAGTATTTATATTATCAATAAAGAAAAACAAGTTAAAATTATTTCAAGAAACATTACACCTAGGATGTGAAAATAAATTACCTGACTTTCTGACACTCACTAATCATTTAGACCAGTGGTCTAAAAACCCTTTTCAAGTGGCGCCCCCTATAGTATATGGCAAGGGACCCCCCCCCCCCCCCCCCCCCCTCCAACAACATAAAAAAATGTGATTAAAAAAATAACAATAAGAAAAATTCTCAAGTACTGTTAACAAGAACTAAGAGAAAAACATCCACATATATAAAAAATTGTCAAATAACAAAAGGCACAATCACCAAAAACTGGTAAGCTAGAGCCCAAAAATCAATCTGATGGCTGATACTGTTTTGTGTTGACAATATCTGCTTTTTTTAGTCTGATGTTGGACAAGGCACAACAGAGACCACTCTCCACATCAAGCTAACAAAGCTGATTTGTTTTCATGACTGCTAAACTGAAAATTAAGATTATTGTTAGTACAAATGAGCTCAATTTCAAAATTGCTTGAAATGAGATTACTGCAAGATTCCTGTCTGTCTCAATATAACCAGAAGAGATAGGATCAGACACAATGAAATCTGAAGGAAAATCTGAGTAACAGCAGCTCTGGATTTCATTAGAAGACAACAGGTGAAATGGTTTGGCCATATAATGCGGATGTCAGCAACAGTATACCACAGCAAGCAGTGATGTACAGACTAGGCAGGAAGTGAAGAAGAGGCTGATCATGCAAGCGAGGGAGAGAGGGAATTACAAAGTCCCTGGGAATCCCTGTTTATGAAGCACAGAAATGGCTCTTTTCTGTAAATTATACTTCACCTCGACACCACACGGTACAAGAGGATTAAGATGAGATGAGGTGATGAGATGAATTTCCTACACTACTATATAAAAATATAACAGATATACTGAAATTTAATTCTTTTGCTACCATGCAAGTTTTATTTTAACTGGTTCTATTCTAAGATATTGTTACTTTAGATCAGCGTTCTCAAACTGGGTACCACGGCACTCAGGGGTGCCGCGAGCGTATGCCAGAGGTGCCGTGGCAGTAATCAAGAATATTTCAAAACCTGCTTGAGATCAGTGAAGACAGCAATTTAAAACAGAAATACCATAAAGGAAGCCAAGAAGAGTTATGAATGCAAGTGTATTCAGAAAACAAGGCTGCAGTGCAATCTAACCATTCGCTTACATTAAAAAACAGATACAGGAGCAATCTTCAGGTGATTTGAGGGTACAATTTACTTAACTTTCCATAAACATAAAGAAATAATGAAAAATTCATCACTCAATTTTACTCATCACATTAAAGACAAGTGAACATTAAATTGGCACTGTTTTTTCTTCTTTTTCTAAGTATTCAAACTGCTTTAAGGGTAAGATACCGATAAATTGTTTTTGCCCAACAAGAGTGCAGCAGCGAAAAAAAGTATGAGTAACTCTGCTTTAAATAATCAATGTCTTGGTCTCAGGAATTTAAATGTTACTTTAAATAATCAATGTCTAGTCTCAGGAATTTAAATGTTACTTTTAATAATCAATGTCTTGGTCTCAGGAGTTAAAATTTGTAACTTTATAAAATCAATGTCTTTGTCTGCAGATTTAACTCTTTCTGTCCCAAACAACGCATGGTGTGTTATTAGCTATTACCCAATTACCCTATGTGTATCGTCGAAACACAATGACAACATGTTTGGTCTGTGTGTGTTTATGAAACATGGCTAAATATATATATATATATATATATATATATATATATATATATATATATATATATATATATATATATATATATATATATATATATATATATATATATATATATATATATATAAATATATATATATATATATATATATTTTTTTTTTTTTTAAATGTATGTTGTGTCTTTGAAAGTAATGCACTGACACACTGATGCTGTTGTTATTGTGCCAGATTGGATTTATGCTGTAAAATGATCTCAGACTAAATAAAACCTTATACTTAAAATAATTATCAGTGTCTTCATCTGTGGAGTTAAAATATGTTACTTTAAATAATCAGTATCGTCATATGTGGAGTTAAAATACCAAAACTATAGGAGAGAAGAAATTAAAAATAAGAATTAGGGCAGAGTTGGTTAATGTAACAAATGGAAACGTCACATAGAATTCAAAAAAGTATATTCTATAAGTTAAAGTGAATAAATGCATGATGAGCTTTGTGGTATTGAATGCATTTAAATTTTGGTTACGTTACAAGTACTTTATTTATATCCTGATGAGAGTGGAGAAAGTTGTGGCAGTATACTTGCACACTTGTTAGTTATATCAATCTCTTCATTAGTGATTTGAGGATCAACATCATGGTACACAGGGCAAACCCACAGATGCTCTGTCTCCTGCAGCAAATGTCTTAACATGTAGATGCTAACTGCTCCCTGTGGCACACTGATTATACACACATTGTTCTCTTCTTCTCACACATCCCTCCTTACCAGATCCACTCCTAATTCCTCTTTACACATTCTTGCATGTGTTATAACATCTAATCTCATGTCTTCTGTCAACATTTGTTCATATATGGTCTTCAGAATATCAATCTCTCGAAAACAATGGACACAAATCCAATTTCTTGTGATGCGAGTGCCAGGACTAAATTTAAGAGGGTGGGGGGGGGGGGGGGGGGGGGGGGGGGGGGGGGGGGGGGGGGGGGGGGGGGGGGGGGGGGAGGGGGGGGGTTGTGGGGGGGGGCTAACCCACTACCTCCAGCACACATGTCATAATAAGTGACTAATTCTATGGCCAGCAAGACTTATTTGGCCTATTGGCCAGACGTTCCCCACCCCTGGTTTAAAGACCAGAGAACCTGACAATTTCCCATTCATTCTTCTCTAAAATGACAGACATGCTGAGTGTTTTGTATATGTGCATATTAAATACATTTATGATCTTGTATAAGGCTCTGTATTACATCAAAAGCAAGCAAATGTTAAATGACAAGCTGGATTAAAACTTCCTTTTTTTCTTCTTCAAATTTCAGAATATTAAGATATGGCGAAAGAGGTCAAGATACATTAGAAAAAGAAAAACAAATTTCAAGAGTATAATAAGTGACTACTAAAATAATACTGTAGTCTAGCAAGAAAAATAATTTACAATTGAAGGAATGTTGATAATGTGCAATGCACATGTGTCCTCTAAGTTCCCCCCCCCCCCCCCCATCTGAGAATGCTTAACATTTAATTCACTTCCCCAGGATCATTACATTTTTCATTAATTCAAAATCTTATAAATATAAAAGGTATGCTTAGTTATAAACGGATACTGTCATTCGGAATATTCAGTGTTAGGTTTTCACAAATTTTAGGCCATGACATATGAGGCAGAGTGACCTATTTCCTTGTTCATCCAAAACCTACCCAGACCCTTCCCAGAAAACTCTCTACTGCCCATTTTCATAATTATTGACCAACCAGCGGCATACTGAGTAGAATACTGTTCTTCCAGGTGAGGATTTGGGGAGAGTGGGAAAGGGGTGGGGGGCATTCAAACAACAGACCCTTTGACTCATAACAAGCATTTCATAAGATGCGACTAATTAAAGGGGTTTCTTCGAAGTTGGAGTGCTTCTGTCTGAAAGGCAAGGAACTAAAATTCTGTATACAAATTAGCCAGATCTGTCAAACAGATGTGCACACGTGCACACAAGACTCAAGTTCTGGAGCAATATCTAGTGGAGGAACAACCAAAACTTAACGCCTGGTGAAGGCTAAAAAAAAAAGAAAGAAGAATCTAGTAGGCAAACATTCTACAGTTTATTCAACTTCTCATAAACACACATACAAGCAATTTTCTCGAAAACTGCGTGTTAGATAGCAACAATTTTTTTCAGGCAGCCTTAGAGTATTAGGGAAATATTTTTTCACTAAATAAGAATATCATATGTAGTTTTTTCTTCTTTATGATATATAATGATCTATATTTGTATCATGAAACTGTCTTGGTTGACTTTTGGAAGGTTTACTTTCATTAGTTTCAGCAAGTAATGCACACTTTGACTGTTTTAATAGTGGGGCAAAGAAAAACTATGCAATTTCATAATTATCTCGTGCAAAGTCGCACACTTAGTGACCTCGTGCCAAAATAAGATGTGGGTCAAGGTTGTTTAGTCCAATCTACTAATTAGTGTTGAGTTATTGTGCCCTATAGCTAGCTTATGTCATATAGCTAGCCTATAAAAGCTGACATAGACATCAATTTCAAAATGAATTTGAGATGCAAATGTATAACTATGCAGAAGGTTACCATTCTAACATCCCAGCACTTCCAGGAAATCTAAGATGGGTCATTTATATTTTGATATTCATGACCAAGAGAAACAAACTCGATTGGGGCTTGGTCTGGATAGAGCATCATTTAACCATTGGTTTAGACAGGATACAGAATACGCTCATGTCAAGTAAGGAAGGAAAATTTAAGTTGATGACTTTGATGTAGATGTTTTTAGACGTGAGATCTTAAACATTTTTAGAGACAAATCAACTTGTTGTTACTCTCTGAAAACTGAGATAAACATTGAAATCATAGTGCAGTATTGACATTTCAAAAAAGTAGTCTGTGGAAAATTGAAAGAGCCATCAGGTTCACTTTCATGAAAACTGTAGGCGGAAGTAATATTATTTATGAAAAGCCACATCTGATTGCTAGTCGAAGCAAATACCTGAGGCAGATCCATGAACGAAGGATGCAAAGCTATGATACTGTATATTTGGATGAATCCTGGGTTAATGCTCACCATACCTATGCTAAAGAAAAGCAATCAGCAAATGGTGAACAGTAAAGGAACGGCCAGCGCATTATAATCACTTATGCAGGAAGCAGTGGAAAAGGCCTTATCCTTGAATGCGGACTTATTTTCCAATCAAAAAGTACAGATGGTAGGGCTACCACACTGAAATAAATGGACACATTTTCAGGCACTGGTTGGAGAATGATCTCCTTCCAATTCTGAACAGACCATCATGCCTAGTAATGGATAATGCCACCTATCATAATGCTATATCAGAGGAAGACAAAGTACCAACGACATCAAATACAAAAGATCAAATTAGGACATGGCTTCCTAAGAGAAAAGTCGACTTTGACAACACATATTTGAAGGCATGGTTGTTGCAGCTTGTGAGGAAAACAAATACAACAAAGGTGTCTCACACTGACAAAATCATTAATGAATACGGCTACACTTTTCTGCTACTCCCTGCATCATTCACACCTCAACCTGATAGAGCTTGTTTGGGCTAAAGTCAAAAGACAAGATGCCAAAAGAACAGTACATTTAAAATATGTGATGTTGAAGTTTTGACACGTGAGTTCTTCTCAGAAATAGAGTTTCATTTCTGGAAAAACTGTGTTAAGAGGAAGACAAGTACTGGCACCGAGATGGATTACAATTTGTTCAGCCAGTAACAATAATCAACCTTGTAGGATCGTCAGATTTGGAATGATTAATACCATTTTTTGATGAATGGTTGAATATCATCAACCCATTAGGTACATCTACAAGTGTAACAAATACATCTCCATATCCAAATGTGTCAACCATAATACAATTGGCTGTGCAGTTAAGATACACCGTGGGAGCTAATAGTGACTGAAGGGGAATACTAACTGTTGCATATTGGGGACTTGTTTACAATTGAACAGGCAGACAGATTGGCTGGATCTGCATCACTGGGTGATGAGTTGATACATGACAAGACAGATTTGGTCAAGGCCTTTGGGAACAAGTAATGAAGTCAGAAGAGAAAATAGATTATCATGGCGTAGAGAGAATGATACACCTGGGTGTGACCAGAGGGCCTGGCTGACACACTAAACTCAGAGGAATGGCAAGATAAACATATTATCAGACTGCATCTGGTACCATTAGTATTGGAACTCTGCTCTGGCTGTTGAAGATGGGGACAGAGCACATATTGGAATGCCCTGAGTACTGTGATGTCTTTCTTGACTCAGCTCAACTCACCTCAGTTGAACATAAATGACAAAAAATAAATTTACTTTACCTATCAATGTATTACGAAGACACCTCTCTGACAAAAAACAGAACCAGAAATTCAGATTTTTACTGTAAAATCTAAAAGTTTACTCCACTTATTTACAATGGTTCGAAAAGATCAAAGGAACCGTCTGATATTCAGCATCCTGTGCATCTATGGACTATAAAAATCTAAGGAATATCAACACTTTTGCGTCATGGATATTCTAAGGCTGCATGCCAAAAATCGTTGCGATCTAACTGGCAATTTTCAAGAAAATGGCTTGGAAGTGTTTTCATGAGAAGTTGAACACACTATAACAACCAGGCATCCATTATTCCCAATAACAACAAATTGAACAAAAGTTTAAAAAAAAAGTTACACACCTACTAAGAAGAATTCGATTTTCTCATAAACATACATGAATAAAATGAATACAATAGCATTTAAAATGTCTGCACTGGAATAATTTTGCTAAAATATAGAACAAAGTGTGTGTTAGCACAGAAAAAAGTAAATATTTACAAATCTGAAGACTCCAGTTTTAAAGAAAACATACATGATTAAAATGCAAGCAAACTGTTTTATTATTTAAAAGCTGAAATCTGATTTATGTATTGCTTTAAATGGGAAAATACCTGGAACATTTGTAGTCGCCTGATTGCCACCTCCTGGCAGAAAGGTATTAGATTAACTGAAGTACACTGCTAAATTAGTTCTGATGAGATGTGTTCTTTTTATATAAGGAAAATATTCCCAATATTTATAGTACGGAAGACAAGCATCATTACCAAAATTTTTAAACAGATAGTACTATTTGCATGCCAAGAATGCTAAAATCCCAAGGATGTTTGAAACTCCACTGAGCTAGTCATAGGGCTATTTTGTTCATGTAAAAAAATTAATTTTTATATATATAAATCTACACATGAATTGATACAATTCATATCCTTAGATGTAATCTATTGATTACAATGATTGATTGGCATCTTTCCATCTTTCCAGATGATAGTGTTACATTGCAAGACTCACCCACATTAAGAAAATGCTTTCACAATTAAATAATCTGTTAAGGAGTAAATTTCACACACATTTATGATGAATTCGGACACAAAAACCTTTAAAGCAGGGAGGTGCCTAACTATCTGTGATATACTCACTTCTAAAAGTCACTGAAGAAGAAAGCTCTGACAGATCTTGTTGTCCATGTCTGGACTTTGGTATTGTTCTAGATTTTGAGTGTTGAATACTCATCTATTTTTCAGATCTGTTTTGTGTGTGTGTTTGTGTGCAGACTGTTGATTCCTTGACTTTGAAGGAAATGACAAACCTGTCTACGTCAACCAGTTCTCCAGTAGAAAACCTGTTTCTAGAATGACCACAGAGAGATGTAAATAGGTCTTGACCAGTCATAGCCTTGATCTTGATGTACCATTGCAGGTGGTGGCACATCTCTGCATCAGATATAAATTGTCCTCTACAAATAAATATGCTCAACTGAAACCTTTAGAGTACAGCTACTAGATGGCTGGTCCAAGGATCAAGCAGACATTTTCAATGCACTTAGAGAGACAGGACGTTCCCAGGATTTTAGAAGCAACATGTCCATATCACAGCTAGGACCAGGAGAATTGGAGGCAAAGATTGGCACAGCCAAGCTTGAGAAGCATACTGGATGCACATGAACTTGTCAACCAGCATAGGGCTGGCACTATTAACCATGGGACACTGATGAATATGTTGAAGCAGGAATCTGAGCACCTATGAATGTGTCCAGAGCGCCGTGAATATAATATAACTCATAACATAACTGAGAGGAGAATAATTAAATAATGCTTTAAATGTATAAAGTTTAAAAAAAAAAAAAACAAGTTAGTACTTACGTCTCTTGACACTAATCCTACCAGAACTTCTATGACTTGCAGTAACTGAGAGAAAAAAAAAAAGAAGCAAATTCAGTAAGACTTTTCTGGGAAGAAAAAGTGATAAGGAAGCCTTCATTTCATTGCTTCGTCGTTCGGATCACAGGTGCAATTTTTTTACGGAGAATCCTGGGGATTATCACCAGAACTACAGTGTTTGTGCTTCATGTGATGCTCTGGGCAGGTGGCTATACTTTCTGCAGAAAGAGACCAAGCCATATGGCTTAAAACCTGGTGCAATAAATTAGATCCTCTGGACTGAAACTGTTTAACATCAACAGCAGTTTTTTGCTGGTGGACTGCCCTTCCCTTTCAAGTCTTTTATTTCCAGGTCCCCCACATGCAAATATGGGTTACTACCCTTGTGCCATTATGTTGATTCATTATTCAAACTAAACCAAGCACAGACATTTACTTTAAACTCTAAAAGTGATATGCTCTTCTTAAATTTATTTATCTTATATAGTTCTTACATAAGCTAATTCTTGCAAAACCATTAATATTAACTATTTATTTCTGGTAAGATTATGAATGGAACTTATATAAACCTAAGAATATTATTCATATAACATTTGTTCTAAGCGGAACTGAATAAAATAACTGAGACTGAAAGAGTAAACTTCATTCTGTACTTTTTTCTATTCTTTTTGTGTAATTTAACAGAGGTTTTTGATGGAAAAATTATCAAATGGTTGAAATACTCCTTGTTCAATGTCTAACAGGTCCAGATCTTATTTTTCTAGCTGGCAACTCAATAACTGCCATCAATTATTGCAAAACAATTCAAATTCAAATTCTCTTTCGTTGACCACTTTCAGCTAGGTCCGCTCACATTTCTGCTCACTTTCCTTTCAGCTATATTTGTGGTGACGTTTTCTGGTCTCGATCTCATTTGATTTTGGATTGTGTTCAATATTGTTGCTTGCAAAACAATTATTTAAAAAAACCAATTAATAATGAAACAAGATTAGATATAATTTATATATTATAAAATACTTTTAAAACTAAAATTTCCATTAATATTGTAAAAGCAACTGTTTCAGATACTACAACATTAACAAAGAAAACCTACAGCAAATTTATAAATTCATACATTTTATCAAATTCCTTTTGTATGAAAAAAAAACACAGAAATTTATATTAACAAGTAACATAATAATACAAAATACAGTGTGTGTCCGTAATACGAATGATAACAGTAATTATATATATATATATATATATATATATATATATATATATATATATATATATATATATATATATATATATATATATATATATATATATATATATACGGGAGTCGCTGTGGTGTTGACAGCTAGACACCCGCCTGCGGATTGGAAGGTCGCAAGTTCGTGTCCTAATGAAGCCTGGTTTTTTTAAAAATGACCTTGACCCCTAGGTCGACCCAACCTTGAGTGGGTACCAGATGCAATTTTGGGAAGTAAAGGCGGTTGACACGATGCTGACTACATCACCCAACAAGTGCCGATTAGTCTATAAAAATAAAGGTCTAGCCCTACATTCCGAATACGCCTAAAGGCGTGGAAAAGCGACCTTTACTTTCTTTTACTTTATATATATATATATATACACGCATATGCATGCAGGGATTACAACTGTTCTGAATACAAAATATGTGTTTATCTACTTGTATGTGTGCTTTGCAATAAGCAAAACATGGAAATATTTTGTGAAAGAAGAGATAAAATAGTGTTTAACCCTGTCAGCCCAAGAAAGAGTCTTTTTCCAAATTTTAGGGTTTTTCGGTGACAAGACGTCTTTGGGTAGTGGCCAGTATCCCATTATACTAGTTGCAACAACATAAGTGTAGACACAGCTAATAAGATTTTATATATATATAAATATATACATATTCAGGAAGTTTAAACTTATGACCACTGAGCAGACAGGCAAGCCTGCAGACAGTCAAGCCTGCAGCTTGCTGAATATTGTGTTACTGCAGCCCACAGTCACCAAAGAGATAGACTTTTCATATTTAGAGTTTTAATTCTGCAGAAAGATGATTTATTTTTTATTTTTAATAAAGGGAGATAATGGATGACTACAAATGGCCAAAGAAATAACTGCTTTCCTTTCCTTTTTTATTCAGAAAATGGGTTTTGTTGACACAGCCAGAGAATGTAAAGTGACATCATCATAAGTTTATTATGTAATTTATCTACACCTTAAACTTGTCCCTTATACAACTTATATCTCAAATTATTTAACAGTTTCAATTTAAAGACACGCACTGAATTCCAAGTTAAATATATAAAAATGAAAAAGTAATTTTCAGGAAATACAGAAACTTTTAACTCTCATGAATTAAAATTATTCACAGCAGTAAAAAAAAAATCAAACAAATTAAAAATCACGCATTATGTAATACACCTTTCAGATCTATTTCGTCATCCACAACATTTTTGGATTCTGCATTTGAAACATACACAAAAATTAGTTAAAATCTGTACTATCTGTGCAAAAGTTGGTTAAAATCTGTACCATTTGTTTATATTTTTGGTGGCATGAAAACCCATTTGCATACAGAAATTTAATTAAGTGTGTCCTTCCACATACAAAAAATCTCAATATAACATATGAACTCCATTTCTCTGAACTGAGAGCATATCTGCCTGGGAGGTGAGGAACCAGTAGTCTGCATATAAATAAACAGATCTGTAAAACAGATGTGTATGCAAAATTTAAGTTCTTGAACAATTACATAAGTGGACAAACAACTATAAATATATGCCGCAGTTAACAGCCAGTGAATGCTCAGAAAAAAAGACTGGCAAGTATGAATGTCTAAACCAAAACCAGAAATGCCATCAAAATACATACTGTCAGTTAAAGTCAGCTTACTATCTTTTAGAGGATGTCGCAAACATACCCCAGTGATTGTTGGCTCCTTTAGTTTTTATAAGCAATTTTAAATTCAGCAGTTTGCACACTAAAGCATAGCCCCTGCCTGCAAGTTAAATTACAAACTTTGAGATCATGGATCTTTCCTATGGCAACCAGTGGATCTGAGTCTAGGACTCGTCCTCATCACTGAAGAGAAATCAAAGTTTTGAATTGAATTGTTACAAACAAATTCTCACAATACCATGGACCAAGAAGAAGAAACATTGACACTGAGGAGAACTGGCTCATAAACAGTATCATGTCCCAAAAGCTGAGGTATTTTTGCCATGCTAAAAGTCATGCTGGTCTGGGGAAAATATGGAAATTGAGGGTATAGTTTGTGGAAAATGAGACAGAAGCCGACCTCCGCTAAGACGGATACAAGACATTGAAGATACATTGGCTATAAAAGAACAAAGGGCTGGATAACTGGGAGAGACAGAGGGCCTTTCAGGCGTTTCACAAAGAGAGCAGCGTTCTGTACAGGACATGCTGATTAATGATGAGTTTGCCATTGATTCCTGAACAGTTTGACACTCATACCATTGCTAAAATTTACAAAAGTAGTCTAATACCAAATATTATGAGCATTCTAATCTTGAAATTAGGTCTGGGCAAAAACCTATTTGACCTGCTACTTTCCATTGTGCTGAGAGAATCGTAACATGCCCCATATCACACTGATTCTGTGTTTTCCGCCCAGTCCAAGAAAAGCAAATATCTGATCAGTTACACCATAATAAGGGTGGAATAAAACATCCCATGCTTTTTTTTTCTTTCATTAAATAACACTGTGAATCAAACAAGTTTTGCTTGCCTAAGTAGGATCATGAGCTCTACTGTGCTTCAAAAGACAGACCCATTGCCCTTCAACAAGTATCTTGTAAAAGGCCATAATTTCAACATAATGTGCCAACTGCTTTCGTAAAGGTGACTACAAAAGAAGAAGAAGAAACAATAAGAGGATGAGGAAGAGGAAGAACAGCAGCAGCAGACAGTGCCAGCAATAGAGGAAGAAGAAGAAGAAAACGAGTTGTGCATACGTCAGAGGCAGGCTTGTTGCCTGTAAGCTACTCTTCCCTGTCTATCTCTTTTAGTTGATGAAAGAAACTGTGACAGTAAGACCATTATAAATTACAGTTAAATGTGTTGTAGACATACTGTTGGCATTAAATATGTAGCTGTTCACACAAGTACATGCAATATTTGTCAAGTTCTCATCTTTCTAACACCATGGGTTGCCTGAGGACTTCTTTGTATCTACAAAAACTTTATTTACTAACTTAGAATAGTCACGAGTTGTTTTTCATTTTTTTTTTTCTTAATTAGTTAAAGCATTAGTACACTTCAGTATCACTATAAGGAATCAGGCATATGTGCCATTGTGATTCAATGGTGTCGACCACGAACTTGCAAATTAAATGAGAAAAGAACAAAAGGAAGACAAACAGATATGTATCTGGATGATTTGACCAAGTAACAAAGTATGAAAAAAAAAAGAACACACATTTTATCGGACAATAAGTTTTTTTAAATTTCAATCATGATGGTTCAGTGATAAGTGATTTAAATATATCTTTTCTATGCAGCTGAGCAGATATCAGGTCATCTGTTTTCCAGAGCAGTATTTGTGATGACTTTATGCCGCTCTCTGACAGTTAATTACTGTCTACTAAGTTAGGGCAGTTTTGTTCCTGTCTCAATGCAGATAGTAATTTCAGCCAGGCATGTCGGTAATTCCAAGAACTCATCTTTTTTGGCTTTCTTCTGTTTAGCTTCTGTGTGCAAGTGGGATATGAATGATACAGTACTGATGTAGATTCATGGGAACAAAATGACATGGACCGTGTCACATATAAGGGTCAAATCAGTAAGGGAATGAGAATGAAAGAAGAAATGATTGTTAAAAAAAAAAAACAGTATTACAGCCCAGTGTCTGAGAAGAAATACACTAAATTCAAATGTTGGCAACAATGATTTTAAAATCTCATGCCTTCATGGTTGAAAACTCTTCTTAACATGGGCGGGTCTTGCTAGTCACACTCACCATCACCACAGGCTATGAGTCCCATGCCTCTCCACAGCACAATGTAACA